TAGTTTTTGTAACAAAGTTTAGAATATATTTCTGAATATTCAAGACAAGTTTGCTTGCTTGGTCAATGTATAATATTGAAAAAGTATTAAAAAAACCTCAATATGTTTTATCTTAGTAGGGATAAATAATAAATAAAAATTTCTAGCACTCACAACAATTAGCCTAGCCCCAAAGTAAGCACTGCAAGGCTTGTGTTATGGGATGCTAAGGTAACAGATAGAATACATATATTTGATACACATATATAAGTATATTTATATAGAAATGTATGTATGAACATCCATGTCTAAGGTATGAATGCTCGTATTCATCATAGTAACATTTGTCCTCAGCGGAATGCGAAACCGGGACCTCTCGAGTTGGCATCACATTGAAACCGTATATACCACTTGGCCATGGAGGTTGTCGAAATAAAATAAAATTGAAAAGCTAGTTTGGACAAATTATTGAAATAATTTACTTTAACTATGGTTGCCATATCAACAATTAGCAAACAGCAAGAGACACATGAAAATTTCCAATTCCCAGGATGTTGTAAAATGTCATAAATATTTTTTTTAGTTTCATAGACTGATAATTCTTTTTAAGGTCATTTTGCAGACACTTTTATTTAGCTAGAATAACATATGTACTTAGTGTATTTATTAAAATAACAAAGTTAAAAATATATTTACACCCCAATTTATTTATTTCATATAATTCATTTAATATTATATTGATTAAATAATAAGACACAAGACACCTAGTTTTGGGAATTATCACAATTGAGTGTTTTGAACAAATCATTATCCAATTCTTGTTTCTTAATATTGGAATAAAAGAATGAAGCACAAACTTTTTTTCGTGTATTAAAAATAAATAACTACTTTTATGATCTTCATTCATCAGAAAATATAGTTAGTCCATGTTGAAATAATTTTAAGTAAACAAATAACATCTTCATTACATTTCAAGACAAACGCCAATAGTATTTGCATGTTTTTTAGTTCTCATTCCACAATAACTACACCAGAGATAAACTATGAAAAAGTTGTATTATAAAAACATTGTTGCATGCATTTGAAACTTACACCAACAAATTGTAAATAAATAAGTCCAGCAAGTAAAAACAATAATACAAAAAACCCAACAGTTTCTAGAAATAAGAAGCATTCATAAGCACAATGACAAATCCTTTGCATGACTAATAATGGTTTAGTCAGCACCAAACACTGTTTCTACTATAAACCATACATCGTTTAAATTGTTTTCTCAGGTTTAAAACTATATAGTTTGACAATATTGTTTGTAGAGAATATTTAATGCAAACAATGAGAAAACCTAGCCAGAAGATTCATTAAAAAAATTACAGTCAAATAAATTTAATTACTTACCTTTTGTTCTTCTAGAAATGTAGTAGACAATTGATATGCTAATGTAGAGAACATACTAGTTACTCAGCATATCTCCTGAGAACAGGAGGCATGGAGAGTTTATGTGTTCCCTGCCACACATGAGAAGCTTCTCACTACTGTTATTATTCATTGAATGAAACTGTCTTTAAAGTATTATTTGTTCAAAAGAAATTTTTGAAGAGTTCCAAGAAACGCAAAAGCATAAATCATACTAAGACTAAGTTGGTGAGTGAATTGATAATCTGCCGCCTTATGGTGACACGACACGGCACGATCGATCTAACTTAGCGCTTGGCTCTCCAAGCAGAGGCTGTAGCACAAGCGGTATCTCAAGAAATCAGGTCGGGAAAAGTGCACTGGCACGTGAGAACGCTAACACAATGCTCGAGAAACTGTGGGAGAACGAGAGGCGTTGCCATTATAGTAAACAATCACGTCACTGAACCTAAAGGCACGGCAGGACATTCTATTAGCGGTAACATTTTCAAAATCCAACTTACCTCAAAAGAAGAAACGCCTGCAGCTGCAGTTAAGGTATTGCAAATTGTATGATTTGTAGTATTTGTAAGAGAATTATCTGTATAGTTTTCGTCGTCAATGACTCCTCGACTCACTTTTCCTCAATTTATCTAAATCTGTCAAAAATGACGAACGAAACGAATTGGTCCGAGGGTCCACAGATAGAGTAAGTAAAGCCGAAATTATATATATCCGTCGTTTTTGTCGTGACGCGTCAGAGTGACAACGGTTACATGTACGTCATACTAGTTTACACCACATCAAATTTAAAGTTGTTACTTACGCAGTGCGTATTTTGTAAATTATAATTATAATAAAAAAAATCCTCTCAAGTTTATGAAATAGCAACTGTTTTGGTGGTGTACGCTGGCATGGCGATCAAGCTAGCATACACCAGGTCACTCTCGGAAACGGCTTATTGCAACTAAATTTTTTACAGAAAATAGTACCCACACTATGAAATTTCATAATCATAGCTCATAAAAGAACAAAGTTAAAAAACAAGACTTAAAAATAATCTTTGGTGCTGGCGTCATGGTAGCGTACCCCAAATAGTGCATATAGAAAGCAAACTTCTCTTTTAACATATGATACATTTATAAATAGTGCGTGAAATTCTGTCTCTGGTAATTAAAATGCTATATGAATTCACAGCGGAATAATAAAAAAAACTGGTGTCAAGTTCTAGGAAGAAATGTATTGAAATGCACTCGCGAAAAAAGATTTTTGAAGCTCAAATTGCCGCATGCATGCATGGGAAATGGAGACGGAGAGTAACGACGTATGACAATAAAATTGATGTTGATTGAACCTCTGTCGTGACACAACACAAAAAAGGAAGATATATTTCCGAACTTAGGAGACTAAGTCTAAAGGCTGATTTACACTTCGGTAAGTACAATAGCGAGTTGAGTTAACTTAACTTAGGGTTTTAAGGATATAAGTTTTATCATAGTTTGGACAGGGATTTGCCACTTAAGAACCTACTGCTTAACTCTCCGATTTCTAAATTCCTTACTGTACTTACCGAAGTATCAGAATCAGCCTTAAGTTTCAAGACAAAGGGAACCATGAGTGGAAGCCCGAGAGACTGGCTACTGTGTTGTTACAATGCAATAGACAACAACTGTTAACTATCTTATCAAACTTCACTTTACGTTGTTACTTGTGAAGAGGCCGAATCCAGATACAGTGAGCTAGTCACAACAAAGGCTCTTTGTCTCGTTCCTACAACGGAACAGCCTAAAAAATCATTGATTTTTGCTATTGACATAAAAGTGAACTTCTATGTCAATAGTAAAAACCTATGATTAAGCCTCGATTTTTTTTTAATTGATATGTAATATTTACTTGTACATTATAATACAAATGAGCTAAGTTGGTCATTACACATGAGGCATTATTGTAAACGCGAATTGCAGGCGAGCGTGGTAAGGAAGCCGAGTGTGTAATGATCAAAGCACTCAAATTGCATACGACGTTTTCAACACAATAGTCTATTTGACAGTATGAATAATAAAGTACCAATTGTTTACATCTGTATTTAATATTACCAGCTATTTTACTAATAGGAGAACAAATAATTAAAACTTTTCTAAAAAATCATTAAATAGAAACGATTTTTTTGTTCTATGGTTACGTGACCGAAATCGCCTGGGATTATCGAAAACTAAAATGACTTCACACGCTAGTAAACTTCCGGTCAAAGTGACATTAAATTGTATCGTTTGACGGTTTGAATAACACAAGTGGCGGCACATAGCCGTGAGACGCCATTATGCCCAGAGAAACGTTTTTGCGGCAACTTTAAAATGGTATTTTTGATTTATTTTATTTTTTACTAAAAAACGCAACAGAATTATAAATATCCACTTTTGAATTTCCCCTATTAATAATTATAAAAAATAATCATGTATTGTTGGTAACTTTTATAAAGTTCAACTGACCTTTGTTGCCAAGTACGGTCAGTACTATGCAACAAATGCGAAGCTTCTTTCAAAAACTTTTCAACATCAGTTCATTGAAGTAGGTAGGCTAAAAATACATTCTCCGGATATGAATTGGCTTTTTGCGGTTCAAATTGACATTATAACAGCTTTGAGTATCTATTACTCAAAGATAGGGCCAGTTCATAAACTTATAAGTCATTGGATTATTCCATACTATTATAGTATATTTATGGAGCAGAAGTAATGAAGTTATATGAAATGAAATGTCTTTTCCAGATACGAATACATGAAAAGGTCATTTAAAGGAAATATGGTTGTCATTTAATTGAATTGAATTATAATTCAGGAATTCTGAAATGCAACATATTTCTGATGTTTTATCATTTTAGAAGCCCAGTGTTTCAACTCCAGAATAAAAAAGAATCAGTGAGTTCATCAAAATGACGAGTTTGCAATTATATTTATATTGAAAGAGAGTGTATCATTGGTGTCGATTCTGACGTGATTCTCTAAACTTAAAACTAAATTTAACATTAGTCTCTCCTTTTTATTCTGTATAGAGAATGACAGGGATGCACTGTTGTCAAATTTTAGTTTAGCTTTAGAGAATCATGTCAGAATCGACATCATTGTCATACTTTATTATTGGTGTCGATTCTGGCGTGATTATCTAAACTTAAAGCTAAATTTAACATCAGTCCCTCCTTTTGATTCTGTATAGAGAATGACAAGGATACACTGGTGTCGATTCTGGCAGGATTCTTTAAACTTAAAACTAAATTTGACATCAGTCAGTCCTTTTCAGTCTGTATAGAGAATGACAGAGATACACTGGTGTCGATTCTAGTATGATTCTCTAAACCTAAACTTAAATTTGACAGCAGTACGTCCTTGTCATTCGCTATACAGAAAGAAAAGGAGAGACTGAAGTTAAATTTAGGTTTAAGTTTAGAGATTCACGCCAGAATTGGTACCACTGTTGTCAAATTTAAGTTTAGCTTTAGAGAATCATACCAGAATCGATACCAGTGTATATTTGTATGTACATCTAGTACGTCCATGGTTTGTGGACAGCGAAAACTGGAACGTTTTACGTAATAGCTTAGGTAGCCTGTGTGTTTTGTTTGCTTATTGGATGTCATGTCATGTCTGTCACGCAAAAAAGTCAAAACAATAAATCTTATTTACATTTTTCGTTCGTAGTATCGTTGGGTACAATAAAAACCCTGCTTGGTAAAAAATAAAAATGATATCGGGGACAAAATTAGATGTAATTTGGTCTCCTGTCCACCACGACAAATTTATATTATGGGGTTCAGACATAACCTTATATCAGGTTTCTCGTTTAAAAGATATCGAGAAGAAAACTGCATGTAAGTATATTTATGGATATTATTACCAAAAATACAACGTATATTTTTCTAAATCTTCATTAATATGTCTTGTAATTCTATACTTAAGGTTGTTTGATAATTTTCTGTTTCAGATACTCAAATTTCTTCAAACAGAGGTGCAACTGTCATTGCATCTCAGAGTGCTAACGGTGTACGATGTGTCGATATCAGTGCTATCCCTGAGCAGCCAGAGCCATTGCTTGCACTCGGGCACTCCAATGGACGCGTCTCTCTCGCCAACCTAAAACAAGCCTATGACCCATTAGGACTTGTTGGGAGAGAGTTCAGTAAGCATTCAATTAAAATAATTATAATTACTGGTTTTAAACACCACACCAATTTGCCTAGCCCAAAAGTAAGCATTTCTAAGTAAGGCTTGTGTTATGGGATACTAGGGTAACAGATAGAAATACATGTAATAAGAAATAATTAAGGATATTATTTGAGAAATACAGCTTCCCTACCCTATCTGATTTGCAACCTTACCCCTGGTTATTGACCTGTTCCAAATTTGTTTTTTTTTTCTTGGTGTGTGGGCTTCTCTGCCGCAGACCCACCTGCTCTACCTTAAATCTGACCCTGAATATGATTAATATATTTCGGTGGTGGTTTTTATTTGGTTTCAGATCCACGCTACCCTCGGCTGTGTAATTCAGTTTCATGGAGTCATGTGGAGAGCAATCTACTGGCAGTGGCTATGGAGAAGCATCGCAGTGATCATTGCATACTAATATGGGATGTGAATAAAGGATCTGCTACTCCAGCAGGCTATGCTAAAAGTAATCTATAAACAGTTCAATATCATAATGTCAGACAGTTAACAGTACAATCTATCTTTAAAAAAAATCATTCTAGTAAAATAATAGTTACATTTGTCTAATAAGTTCATCATTGCCATTATTTGCATTGTTTGATGTATTTTTAGATGCAGATTCAACCGCATCGCAAACTGACAATGCAAAGCCTGTTGCAGAGATGGGCCTCTCTGAGACAGCCCACAGTGTGTCCTGGTCTAATTGTTCAAATCGCACCCTACTAGCCAGCATGAACCTCAAGTTCATAAAGATTTTTGATCTCCGAGGTAATCTTTATAATTCACAGTTCAATAAACACTTAAAAAGTCTTTACATTTAATTATGATATTTCTATTTTATATAACATGACTTATCGTGTAAAAACTGCTCTTTAACTTTTGAGTAGATCCTTAACGTAATGCTGGCACTCAGCTTCTTCTAAATTCTTTCTCATTTCTTAGAGAGATTACAAATTTTCAGATTTAGATTTGATTTTCAAATCAATCGTCTCACCTTTCACGTTATTATACAAAAGAAAAAAAAGAGTATTAAATGAACATCCTGTTGTCAAATTGACAAATACCAATAGCCATGTGAAATGCTTAAATAAGATTCGTTGGTTCTGTTCAGACTGGTCGAACAAGGGCGTTCTTGTCGCGACGTCGCGGTACTGCCACGGCGTGACTGCCGACCCGCTGTGCTCGTGGCAGGTCGCGTCGCGCGGGGAGGGCGTGGTCTGTATATGGGACGCGCGCAACTTCTGCCGCCCGCTGCTGGCACTGCCGCAGCCCCGCCCCGTCGCCAGGGTACAGTGGTGCCCCACCAGGTGGGTCCTACAGTCGTGGGGGGGAGGGCGTGGTCTGTATATGGGACGCGCGCAACTTCTGCCGCCCGCTGCTGGCACTGCCGCAGCCCCGCCCCGTCGCCAGGGTACAGTGGTGCCCCACCAGGTGGGTCCTACAGTCGTGGGGGGAGGGCGTGGTCTGTATATGGGACGCGCGCAACTTCTGCCGCCCGCTGCTGGCACTGCCGCAGCCCCGCCCCGTCGCCAGGGTACAGTGGTGCCCCACCAGGTGGGTCCTACAGTCGTGGGGGGGAGGGCGTGGTCTGTATATGGGACGCGCGCAACTTCTGCCGCCCGCTGCTGGCACTGCCGCAGCCCCGCCCCGTCGCCAGGGTACAGTGGTGCCCCACCAGGTGGGTCCTACAGTCGTGGGGGGGAGGGCGTGGTCTGTATATGGGACGCGCGCAACTTCTGCCGCCCGCTGCTGGCACTGCCGCAGCCCCGCCCCGTCGCCAGGGTACAGTGGTGCCCCACCAGGTGGGTCCTACAGTCGTGGGGGGGAGGGCGTGGTCTGTATATGGGACGCGCGCAACTTCTGCCGCCCGCTGCTGGCACTGCCGCAGCCCCGACCCGTCGCCAGGGTACAGTGGTGCCCCACCAGGTGGGTCCTACAGTCGTGGGGGGGAGGGCGTGGTCTGTATATGGGACGCGCGCAACTTCTGCCGCCCGCTGCTGGCACTGCCGCAGCCCCGCCCCGTCGCCAGGGTACAGTGGTGCCCCACCAGGTGGGTCCTACAGTCGTGGGGGGGAGGGCGTGGTCTGTATATGGGACGCGCGCAACTTCTGCCGCCCGCTGCTGGCACTGCCGCAGCCCCGCCCCGTCGCCAGGGTACAGTGGTGCCCCACCAGGTGGGTCCTACAGTCGTGGGGGGGAGGGCGTGGTCTGTATATGGGACGCGCGCAACTTCTGCCGCCCGCTGCTGGCACTGCCGCAGCCCCGACCCGTCGCCAGGGTACAGTGGTGCCCCACCAGGTGGGTCCTACAGTCGTGGGAGGGAGGGCGTGGTCTGTATGTATGTGGTGTTTATGTATAGCCTACAGTCATCTCCACTACTAGCTTATAAACAGAAACAAAACACTATGGTAGAGTTTATATTACTACACCTTTTGTGAAGTATATTTTTATTAGTCTAGCAGTATTGGAGAACTTACTTGCTATAGCAATCACAGAATAGGAAGTTTTCAAAAAAGTGGCAATTTTACTAAATTTAGATGCCACCACTGAACTTATTACAGTACTACACATAGATGACAACCACATATGTGACACAACTTTATAAGTTTACACAGAATTATAAAAGGTATACATTAACGATATCTTAAAGGGCCGCACTTAACATCAGGTGGGGTAGAGTCATTTGACGACTCTGTATATAATACAGGGAGAAAAAAACAGCCCTTGCTGAGTTTCTTGCCGGTTCTTCTCAGTACAAGGTCTCCCGCCGTAGATTTGCGAACCGATGGCGTAGCTTTTCGACATTCATATGTGCTTGTAACAGCGTAGACTGAATAAACGATATTGAATTTTGAATTTTTTGAATTTTTTGCCTACCTCGCTGTAAAAAAAGGGTAGGCAAAGCTTAATTTGTTACCTAACCGACTTACTAACTTAACTAAAAGCATTCAATTTCGTCCAGACGTAACCTCCTGCTGTCTCTACAACGCGACTCCAACACGCTTCGCCTACACGACATCCAGCAAGCCCACAACGACCCCAGCAAGGCAGCCGTCACCGTAGACAACACAATCAATGTCAATGTAAGGACTCAATCCCATTCATATTTTTAGTTAATAAATAATAATAAATAAATAATAAATATTTCCGACACTCACACCAATTAGCCTAGCCCCAAAGTAAGCACTATAAGGCTTGTGTTATGGGATGCTAGGGTAACGGATAGAATACATATACTGTACATATATAAGTATATTTATATAAATACATATTAAACATCCATGACTGGAGTACAAATGCTCGTATTCATCACACAAACATCTGCCCCCACCGGGATTCGAACCCGGGACCTCTCGAGTCGGCGACAGCCATGAAACCCGGCGTACAAACCACTCGGCCACGGAGGTCGTCAAAAGGGTATTTGAGGTAGTTAATAGAGTATTTGACAGTATTAAATATTAAGTGCCAATTGTTAGCATCTGTGTTTAGAATGAATATTGGCAGGGGTTTTTACTATTTTTACAAAACAAATATTCATAATTTTACTAAAAACCCACGATAAAGATAATAGTTTTCTTATCTATTGTCACGTGACCCAAAACGCTAGGGATTGGCGGAGCCTAAAATGACGTCACACGCAAGTAAACTTCCGGTTAAAATGACATTACATAGTATCATTTGACGTTTTAATAACAGTCGTGTGACGTCACACACTAGTAAGACGCCATATTGTCCAGAGAAACGTTTTCGCGGTAACTTGAAAATGGAGTTTTTGATTTGGTTATTTTTACTGAAATACACACAACAACACAACAGAATGATGAATATCCACTTTTTACGGACTAATAGTCAATAACGTGAGATCGTTTTCTAAAACTTGTCAAAAACCCTATTGCATGGCATATTTTGTTGTGTATATATATATATATATATATATTTGCAAAAATAGTAAAATCCCCTGCCAATATTCATTCTAAACACAGATGCTAACAGTCAAATACCCTGTACCAAATAAGTTTAATGTTTTTTTAATCCACTGTTTTTGTTTATTTAGTCATGAGTCAAATAAACATTTAAGGTTGTTCTTGGCCTGTGTGGGTTTTGAATAAATATAAAAATGTACTTGTAGGAAGAGCAAGCGGCCACGGCGATAGAAGCGGAGTTGGAAGAGTACGAGCGCGGGCCGAGCGCCATCGAGCGGGACGTGACGCCCCTGGCGTGCGGCCTCATCGGGCCCGCGCAGAACGGGCCCGGCCTCATCGGGCCCGCACAGAACGGGCCCACAGCCCATGCGGGCCCAATCGCCTCCTTCTGCTGGCACCCGGCGCACGAGGCGCGGCTCATCGCAGTCGGTGTTAATGGTCAGTAATACTATATTATTAGGAACTCATATTATTTGAGCTCCTTATAGACGGTTCGGAGGTGGAGAGACTGGTAATCTGTAATACAGGTCTCCTAGTACAGACGCCAGTCTCTCACATGACTAGATTTAGGTATTAAGGTTAAGTTAATGATGTATTGTTTAGTGAGAGAAGAAATAAAGAAATTGTTATTATTATTATTTTTCTATTTAGAAACCAACACAGCGTTACATAGTTACAAATAATGTAAAAAAAGTGCTTAAACTTACAGTTTCCTCAGTGAAATCACATATATATAAAAAAATAATTTTAATTTGATAAAATACTAATACTATGCCAGCAATAATTAATAGCAATAACAAAATTATAAAGTCGTTATACTAGAATAGCCTTATCAGATTCCCAAATACAGTGCATAGGCAATTTTAAAAGCTATCTAATTTATTATGGCTATTTGTCAAGTTTTCAAAAACGTTAATGCTTTACAATGCGATTCAACTAAGAATAGGACCGTCTGGGCGCCATATTGTGATGTCATAGCTGTCAATTTAAACCAAATAGGTAGAGTGAGCAAAAAATAGTTTTAGTTTAATAAAACTTATTTACTAACTAAGATTAAGTGAGAAAAAGCATTAGATTTTTTAATAACATTTGTTTACTAAGATTGAGAAAAAAAACCACCGATTTTTAATAATATTTATTTATTAAGAGTGTGAGAAAAAACATTTATCAGAATCTAGCTCTTCTATTCCGCTCATCTCTGCATTACCGCCGGAGTAGTTATGAATAATCATGCACTATTACTTGGTCACATACGAACATGCATCCTTTATGTAAACGAAAGTTTGAAATCGAGTTTCTGAACGCAACTTAGTGACATTTGGTTAACGCTTTAGGTAATCAACCGTTCATGGCCAAAGCTCAATAAGTGAAAAAAAAATATCAACCAATATTAATTATCAATATTTGTTATTGTTTGTTTACAAATGTTTGATTTTTATTCTTGAACTAGTGGCCCGCCCTCGCTTCGCTTTGGTGTAGAGCTGTAGTGTAAACTATAGTTTTTGTTCTCAGGCTTGTGCTATAAAGAATGACTTTAATTATATAATTACACGTGTTATTGTGAGTCAACCATAAAAGATAGACATATGCTGTTCCGGGATATTTTTTAGACAATTTTATGTAGAATATTTCCGTCATACATGATTTCTATGTAACTTTAACCATTAAGGCTGCACCCGCGACGGAAGCTTAAAAATGGAATAACTTCTCCCGTTTTCCCAACATTTCCCTTCACTACTCTGCTGCTATTGATTGTAGCGTGATGAAAAGTATACTATAACCTGCCCAGGAGTATGAAGAATAATTGTACCAAGTTTCGTTAAAATCCGTTGAGTAGTTTTTGTTTCTATAAGGAACATACACACAGACAGACAGACAGACAAAAATTTTACTGATTGCATTTTTGGCATCAGTATCGATCACTAATCACCCCCTGGTAGTTATTTTAAAAATATATTTCATGTACAGAATTGACATCTCTACAGATTTATTATAAGTATAGATTAGCGGCGTGCTAAAAAGGGTTCCAAGCTTTTTTTGCAAACCGTACTTTTCAAGCGACATTTGACAGATAGAGGTCATTGGCTATTCTTATTTGAATTGCATTATATTTATTTGTATATAGTGATTCCATAAAAAACGGATATTTGTAATTCTGTAGTGTATATCAATAAAAAAACGAAAATAAAAATTATGTTTTCAATTCAAACATGCTGTAGAAAAGTTTCTCTAGCAAATATGGCGTTTTAATGGCAGATGATTTCACACGGATCTTATTAAAACCTTAAGTAGTACTAAATAATGTCACTTCGGCAGCATGTTTACAAGCAGATGATGTCATTTTAGTCTTAGCCAATCCCAGGCGTGTACAATGGATAGAAAAACACATTTTAATAATTGTTACTTTATTTTTCATACTGTTAAATATCCAATAATATTTAAAACTCATTCTTTGAATTTGTGAATCTGTCCTTAGTAAAAGCACTTGAAAAAGTTTAACAATATTTGGATGACTTCGTGTGAAGTACACGTGTTTTTATTAATTAAGTATTGTGTTATGTAAGTTACGACAACGATTAGCAAAATTGAGAATGATTGTTATCTTTTTGAAATGAAACTTCTTTACGCACGCTAGACTTGGAGGGTAAGCTGGCGAATGCGTTACGCGTTACGAAAAGTGTATTCGGGCAAGGCGAACGGGAGTTGAGTCGGGGTATATTCCCGACAATTCTTTCTCAGCTAGAGAAAGTTGCGCGCGCACATTTTCTTTCTCTCTCTCTCTCTCTTATAGCTAGTAAATGAAATATGTATATGTACATGTATATATTGTACACACACATATATATACCAGGTGTTGCAAAAATACAAATAAAGCTTAGAAGGGCGTTGAAGTACATCATATAAGGAGTCTTCTCTAATTTTCTCAAAATAATTGCATGAAGATTTAACTTTTTATAAAAACAGTTATTATTAATGATCCTCGAACTAGTTACGTGCCTTAAAATGATCGATATTTTTATTAATCATTAAAAATAACTTTTTTTATAAAAAAAGATGTGGTATCGTGGGACACCAGGTAGGAACGAAGTTGAGTATATACTATGCATTGGCGGGTGGAGTGGTAATAGAAAGAGAAGGGATGAGAGAACGAAAAGAAAGAGGGAGAAAGAGAAAGGTATCATACACTACTCGCTTGTGTATGCGACTGTCGCGCCTGCGCACGTCTCATTTAACGGTTTTATTCCACGCACTTTTTTCCACGGATTTTTTCTTACGGTTTTACTATCACATTTTTTTCAGTTCGGTCGCGCAGCAAAATCCCTATCCCCTCCAAGCCTGCCGTAAGGAACTTCGTTCCAATAATTATATCGTGCGGTTTATCGAACCGTACATGCGGTGTTGCAGGCAGCGTGAGTGACTACACTGTGTGCGAGCGCGTGACGGTGTCGTGGGGCGCGGGCCCGCTGGCGTGGTCGTGGGGCGGGGCCCTGCGGGTGGCGGAGGGCCCCGCGCCCCTCACGCCGGGGCCCGCCTGCCTCACCCCGGGGCCCGCCTCCCTCACCACTGCGCCCGCGCCGACCCTGCCGCCCTACCTGGACGATATATCGCATGTCATGCGCCGGCGCGCGCTCACAGACTACGGACTCAAGGTAATGAATACTTCCTCTACAAGATGGCCAACACACATCATCAGCCTATTAATGTCCCACCACGCGGGCCCAGTGCGGATTGGTGGGTGCTAACCACTGCAAATGCAGCCGGGACTGACGGCTTAACGTGCCTTCCCAAGCACGGAGGAGCTCAAGATAGTAAATTTTTGGTCACCCATCCAATGATTGCGAAAGTTGCTTAACTTCAACGATCGCAGCCGCGCCTTCGGCTGCGATCGTTGCCACCTGTGCCATCGAGCTCCTCACACATATCACCAGCCTATTAATGTCCCCCCTGCTAGGACACAGGCCTTCCTTACGGATGGAATAGGAAGATGGGGCCGTGACCCACCACACGAGCCCAGTGCGGATTGGTAGGTGCTGACGACTGCCGTTGCAGTCGGGACCGACGGCTTAACGTGCCTCCCGATGCACGGAGGAGCTCGTGATAGTAAATTTTGGGTCACCCATCCAATGACCTACTACTGCGAAAATTGTTTTTTTTATAGATAGGTCCGACAAATGACTCCACCCTACCTGATGTAAAGTAAAGGTTAAGTCAAGACGTGATGATAGCTGATACAGCAGTTCTACCTGCCACACCAGCCATCCTCACCCTGCCGGCCTGCATGTTGCTTCTTCACGCCTCTTTTAAAGGATCCCAGGTTGTAAGAGGGAGGGAACACGTGAGCGGGCAGAGCATTCCATTTACGGATAGTGCGACAAAGAAATGAGTCACCAAATTTCTTTGTACAACGAAGGCCAGCGCGCGTGGTCCTCTGAAGGAAAGGTGAAGGTGGAATAAGAGAGAATAACTCCTCAGAACACTCGCCGTGGTACAGACGATAGAACGCGCTTAGTGACGCCACGTCACGGCGTAATTGAAGAGGCTCAAGGTGTTTAGTCACCTCCTCATCGCCTATGATGCGGATCGCGCGCCGCTGTAACCTATCCAAAGCATCGAGCAAGTACTTGGCGGAGCCATCCCAGAGGTGCGAGCAATATTCCACGCTGGACCGCACTTTTGTCCAAAAAGCACAGTTGATCGGGCGTGAAAAAACTCCGCACCTTGTTCAGGACTCCCGAATTTGCTTAACTTTGATGATCGCAGCCGAACGCGCTATACACTTACGCCATCGAGCTCCTCTTAGTGGCGTAGATATTATACAAGAGGTTGTGATCGCATCCACACCTTGGAAGGTCATTTAGTTTGCTTCGGTTAAAGCCAATGTGCGGATGAATTTATTAAATCTGATATTGTGATGCTAATGGCTGCTGTGGTTTATTTATTTACAGCATATCCCTATTACATAGTATACTACACTATAGTTATGACGCCTGAATATAAAACTTAAATCAAATATGCAAGCGATCACTCTGCTAGAAGCTCGTATTTCGGCACTGTCGACAAATATCGGAAACTCGCTAAAAACAAGGTACATGGTAACAATCCCGTAAATAACTTATTTAATATATAAAATTCTCGTGTCGCGGTGTTTGTGGTTAAACTCCTCCGAAACGGCTTTCCCGATTCTCATGAAATTTTGTGTGCATATTGGGTAGGTCTGAGAATCGGACAACATCTATTTTTCATCCCCCTAAATGTTAAGGGTAATCCACCCCTAAATTTGTTTTTTCAATTTTAGTTTTTTTTTAAATTTTTTTATGATACATTATATAAAAATACGCACAACCCTAAATTTTCACCCTTATACCACCAACCCCTATTTTTTTATGGCGGTACGAAGTTCGCTGGGACAGCTAGTATTACTATAATGTTAGTGACCATGAAAGTTTAAAACAATAAATAATGTGTTATATTTTATCAAAACAGCATCCACTAGTGTAAAAGTACCTTTTTCATTAAAGACAATGTACAGTTTATGTTATTGCATTACTATAAGTCCGTATTCAGAAGGATTTGGATAATAAGAAAACACAGTAAGGTTCAATAGTTCATTTGCGAGTAAAATTAAATTACATAAATGTGGAAGGCGTAGCTGCCGACACACACACATATATATATATATATATATATATATATAAAGGACATGGTAAAGTTTTGTATGAGCGACTGCCCTGGCAATGTATAAATACTGTACTTAGTAATATTTAATGGTAAATGGCTGAATATTTATAATTTCTATGAAAAAAGGCTCAAGAACCTTTAATAAAGTCACAATCTTGAAAATTATGAGACCTCCTACTATGTCATTACCTTACTACAGTTGATAAAAGATGTTGCCAATTATTTACAGAGTCATCAATTTCGCATTTTCTTAGAATCTTTCTTCCCATTTCTCTGATTAACTCTCCACAAAAAGTGTTTTTAAAGCAAAAATAAGCACAAAAATTTTGTTATCGTCGGCCTGACAGGAAATCAAATGTATTATTTTAGGCCTTCAGTGATGTTTTGATAAAAATTAGGGTCAAATATGTCATAGTTTGTGGGAGTTTAGAAATAATATTGTTTATTTCCATATACTTAAACAAAGATTATTTGTGTACATTTATTTTGTAAAACGGAACATTTTGCTTTTTAAACAGACATGAAGTCAATTTCCATACTTTTAAATATTTGATTATTTTACGAAAGTTGTATGAGAAAGATAAATACTTAATAATTAATAAAAAATATTGTAAAGTTACTGGCTAGTGCGAAATATTTATACACGCAGTTTTTTAGCCATGTCCTTTGGTATAGTACAGGCATGATGTAGGGTATAGAATTACGTAAACTCAACAAAATTATAATGTGTCCCTACAGACAATATAATCTTGATTATCTCTAATGAATACACTGTGACGCAAATATTCTAACTTGATCGAACTCAATTCAATAATACTTATTATAAAAACTTTCATTGACTACTCTGAATTGCCACATTTAAATGTTGCTACAAGGTTAAGATTGTAAAAAAACTTGTTTAATTAAACTTCCCTATTAACTCGTGCTTTTCCATTCTGTAGGCTCTGGAAATTTTCACAGGCGGATACGAATCGCCAATCTATTGTAAGTTAGTTAAATAAACTGACTTGACCTTGGGACGAAATGTTCTAGTTACTACTGTTCTATATCGTAATCTGTTGATCTAAATTACTATACATAATAAAACAAAGTCCTTCGCCGCAGTCTATCCAAGTATTTGTGATGATTTTAAAACTACTGAACTCTTTTCGAGATTTAGTGACTCATATTACAGATTATGTAGATAAAGGGGATAAAAGTCTAGCTGTATTCCGAGATCAAAAAGGCTTTCGATACTGTTTCTGCACCTATTTTAGTAAAAAAGCTTGAAGGTATTGATATCAGGGGTATTGCTCTTACTTGTCCGAAAGTTATCTCTCAGAAAGAAAGCAAACCATTAAAATTGACAATATCACATACGGAGTTCCACAGGGCAGTGTGCTAAGACCTTCACTGTTTTTAGTTTACATAATTGACTTGTGTAAGCTTCGAATTGGTGAAGTGCGTATTTTCTGTTACGCGGATGATACTGCACTTCAATCAATCACGAATTTCAAACGAAACCACACAAAATCTCCGAAGTTCTCAATTAATTAATTACATTTTTTTTTTATTTTATTTTTTTAAATCAGGTTTTGGTGAACATTTGGTTCAATGGTTTGCTAGTAATATATATAATAAACCAGATACTTTAAAAAACTCCACCAACGCTAAGAGCGAGGCATCCCAACACAAGTATTAAATATTACTTTCTGGGTCTTTCTTTGAGAAATAAAAACCATTTTCCTTTTTCATTCCTTCTTTTTTCAAGGATGATTCTTATTTCATAAGTATTAAAATACATTTTCTAGTGTAAGCTAGTCTATTCCCGTAATACATATTTAAGTTGTTTACAAACATGTTACACGCTACTCCAAACTATTTTTATGCAATTTTAGTGAGATATGTTCCTTTTGTTTAACACGAGTTAAATGCCCTATCAGCTTATTTTGATATGACTCATGTTATGTTTTTATTTATTTTTAAGCATTTAACTGCTAGATGTTTAAATCTAAAGAAAAGTTTACTAGAAAAAAATCCACGCGGACCAGGCAGCGCACGGGACTCGAACCCGCACCCTTCGCAATCCGGGCTGCAAGGCAGCGCCATCTCTTCGCATTGTAGGTAACCCATAATTGCTGCAGCCTTGCAGGCCAATAGGGCCGTGGTAGCATAATGGTCAGTGCATTCGCCCGGATTGCGAAGGGTGCGGGTTCGAGTCCCGTCCGCTGCCTGGTCCGCGTGGTTTTTTTTTTCTAGTAAACTTTTCTTTAGATTTATGACTCATGTTGTTTGGGTTCTGCAGCCCGACTTATGGCAGAACGCAGACTTGGCGGACGACGTATCTCTCAGCGCGCTCTGGCATTTTCTGGCGCTCAGCAAGTCATTGGTCGAGGATGGTAAGTCTTACTGTCACCAATTGTTCACACAAAAACATAAAACTAATATTTATTTTCTCCAATCAACTATGCTCATTTTCATCCTATACTTTTACATCAAATTAAATTATTTCCAACTAGCGGCTTCCTGTGACGTCTTCCGTCTTAACTTTGTTTTTTTTTTTGATAATCACACAGGAACTCAACATTAATCCGGGATGAAAAGTATCCTATGTCTCAATCCAGGTCATAAACTATATGCGTACCAAATTACATCCAAATCCGTTCAGTAGTTTTTGCATGATGATAGAGTAACAAACAAACAAACTCGCTTCCGGATTTATAATATTTGTTTGCATTTTTGTGTGAAGTTTCACTGAAGACTGGCTTTCGAGATGAGATGTTATATTAATTGTAATGCATGTTTTTCAATCTTTTGTCAATGTATTTCGAATATCGATGACCTGAAAAAACTCTTTATACCCATTTTAAAACTGAATAAGTTTCACACATTTTCTTAACCATGTTATGAGCTAGCAAGGCGGTCCAACGGTCTTAGTGGGCGCGACCAATATTAGCACTTTTGAACTTGATAAACAGGGGGCCAATCGCCTAACTGGATTGCTTTGGAAAACGCTATGGCTTACGATTTCATTTTGTTATTTCTAGCCGCCTGAGGTTTTCAAATGCCTCGCGCTCTTTTTTTTTCTTTTGCATTGGTAATAACAATGTTAAAGAAAATGAGCGTGAGGTATTTGAAAACCTTCGGCGGTTAGAAATAACAAAATGAAATGGTAAGCGATAGCGTTTTCCAAAGCAATCTGGTTAGGCGATTGGCCCACAGGACTGCTTTAGTCTTTTGTTTCTGATATTTTCAATTTCTTAATATTTTTTCTAACTTAATTTTTTTATCAAACCGCGTCTTGTGTTAACTTCATAGGCGCCAATACGTGTTTTCAATGAAAACCTGGCCAAGTGCGTGTCGTGCTCCGCAGTGTAGGGTTCCGTAGATGCCTGTCGTTACCGTACTTGAGCAAGAATTTTTATTTTCTATATCGGAAGTTAAAAAAAATCTAATTTTAAATAGTTTTTGTTTTATTTGTTTTTCAATGCAAGGTTTTACGCTACAATTACTTTATCTATGTCACTATTAATGTTTTTTTCTAAATAATTTTCAATAGGTAAGAAATTTTGTTCTATCAAAGTTGAACAACTATTACTCTTCAACTAACAAATCTATCTTAACCGTTATAATTTTTCTTATGAAAAGTACTATTATCATGAATTTTTCAGGTTTTTCAAGCTAATAGTTTAGCTTTTAAAGGGAACACGAACAAAAATTAGCATTTTAGAGTTCACTATCTCGAAAACGGATCCCTAAATTGAATAATAGTCTAAGGAACCTTTAATTAATTTTAAACACGCTACACGATCGGGTATACGATGAAAAAATCCATCCCCAGTTTACATGTATTACACCTCTCTAGTGCTAACAGTCTCCAAGCAAAACTGGGAACGGACAGACAGACGGACATGACGAAACTATAAGGGTTACTTGTCATAACTACGGAACCCTAAAAAGTAGGATGCTAAGAAATCTAGTGCTGTGTATAGTAGTACAAGTTGATTGGTTGGGTCAGGTTGCATCCGCAGCAGCGGGTGGCGGTACCCGGGCGTGGTGGGCGTCGTAGTGGCCGGGGCCGGCGGGGCGGGGTCGGGCCCGGGGGCGGGGCCGGGGGAGGGCGGGTACCGGTCCGAACCCGCGCCCTCCTTGCTGCCGGATCTGCCGCACCGACGCGTCACTCTCTACAGGTAGGTACCGCTGCACACACAGGGGGGGTCAGGCCCTGCCAATTAAGTTTAATTTAACAAACTGTGGAAATCTGGTTGCTGTATTAATTAAATCTTTTGTATAATGTTTGCATACAGGAGCGTGGAACGCACTCGCGCCGTATCGCTGTGCGGCTGGGGCTGGGGCTGGGAGAGCGCGGGCGCGGGCGTGGAGCGCGCGGAGGCCGAGGGGACGCCCTGCAGAGCCGCCGCCCTAGCCGCCTTCCACCTGCGGCTGCGGCACGCGCTCGACGTGCTGGCGCGGGCCAGGTATCGTGACGGGAGCGGGGCCGTAATCGCTGTGCGGCTGGGGCTGGGGCTGGGAGAGCGCGGGCGCGGGCGTGGAGCGCGCGGAGGCCGAGGGGACGCCCTGCAGAGCCGCCGCCCTAGCCGCCTTCCACCTGCGGCTGCGGCACGCGCTCGACGTGCTGGCGCGGGCCAGGTATCGTGACGGGAGCGGGGGCGGGACCGGGACCGGGACCGGGACCGGGAGAGCGCGGGCGCGGGCGTGGAGCGCGCGGAGGCCGAGGGGACGCCCTGCAGAGCCGCCGCCCTAGCCGCCTTCCACCTGCGGCTGCGGCACGCGCTCGACGTGCTGGCGCGGGCCAGGTATCGTGACGGGAGCGGGGGCGGGACCGGGACCGGGACCGGGACCGGGAGAGCGCGGGCGCGGGCGTGGAGCGCGCGGAGGCCGAGGGGACGCCCTGCAGAGCCGCCGCCCTAGCCGCCTTCCACCTGCGGCTGCGGCACGCGCTCGACGTGCTGGCGCGGGCCAGGTATCGTGACGGGAGCGGGGGCGGGACCGGGACCGGGACCGGGACCGGGAGAGCGCGGGCGCGGGCGTGGAGCGCGCGGAGGCCGAGGGGACGCCCTGCAGAGCCGCCGCCCTAGCCGCCTTCCACCTGCGGCTGCGGCACGCGCTCGACGTGCTGGCGCGGGCCAGGTATCGTGACGGGAGCGGGGGCGGGACCGGGACCGGGACCGGGACCGGGAGAGCGCGGGCGCGGGCGTGGAGCGCGCGGAGGCCGAGGGGACGCCCTGCAGAGCCGCCGCCCTAGCCGCCTTCCACCTGCGGCTGCGGCACGCGCTCGACGTGCTGGCGCGGGCCAGGTATCGTGACGGGAGCGGGGGCGGGACCGGGACCGGGACCGGGACCGGGAGAGCGCGGGCGCGGGCGTGGAGCGCGCGGAGGCCGAGGGGACGCCCTGCAGAGCCGCCGCCCTAGCCGCCTTCCACCTGCGGCTGCGGCACGCGCTCGACGTGCTGGCGCGGGCCAGGTATCGTGACGGGAGCGGGGGCGGGACCGGGACCGGGACCGGGACCGGGAGAGCGCGGGCGCGGGCGTGGAGCGCGCGGAGGCCGAGGGGACGCCCTGCAGAGCCGCCGCCCTAGCCGCCTTCCACCTGCGGCTGCGGCACGCGCTCGACGTGCTGGCGCGGGCCAGGTATCGTGACGGGAGCGGGGGCGGGACCGGGACCGGGACCGGGACCGGGAGAGCGCGGGCGCGGGCGTGGAGCGCGCGGAGGCCGAGGGGACGCCCTGCAGAGCCGCCGCCCTAGCCGCCTTCCACCTGCGGCTGCGGCACGCGCTCGACGTGCTGGCGCGGGCCAGGTATCGTGACGGGAGCGGGGGCGGGACCGGGACCGGGACCGGGACCGGGAGAGCGCGGGCGCGGGCGTGGAGCGCGCGGAGGCCGAGGGGACGCCCTGCAGAGCCGCCGCCCTAGCCGCCTTCCACCTGCGGCTGCGGCACGCGCTCGACGTGCTGGCGCGGGCCAGGTATCGTGACGGGAGCGGGGGCGGGACCGGGACCGGGACCGGGACCGGGAGAGCGCGGGCGCGGGCGTGGAGCGCGCGGAGGCCGAGGGGACGCCCTGCAGAGCCGCCGCCCTAGCCGCCTTCCACCTGCGGCTGCGGCACGCGCTCGACGTGCTGGCGCGGGCCAGGTATCGTGACGGGAGCGGGGGCGGGACCGGGACCGGGACCGGGAGAGCGCGGGCGCGGGCGTGGAGCGCGCGGAGGCCGAGGGGACGCCCTGCAGAGCCGCCGCCCTAGCCGCCTTCCACCTGCGGCTGCGGCACGCGCTCGACGTGCTGGCGCGGGCCAGGTATCGTGACGGGAGCGGGGGCGGGACCGGGACCGGGACCGGGACCGGGAGAGCGCGGGCGCGGGCGTGGAGCGCGCGGAGGCCGAGGGGACGCCCTGCAGAGCCGCCGCCCTAGCCGCCTTCCACCTGCGGCTGCGGCACGCGCTCGACGTGCTGGCGCGGGCCAGGTATCGTGACGGGAGCGGGGGCGGGACCGGGACCGGGACCGGGACCGGGAGAGCGCGGGCGCGGGCGTGGAGCGCGCGGAGGCCGAGGGGACGCCCTGCAGAGCCGCCGCCCTAGCCGCCTTCCACCTGCGGCTGCGGCACGCGCTCGACGTGCTGGCGCGGGCCAGGTATCGTGACGGGAGCGGGGGCGGGACCGGGACCGGGACCGGGACCGGGAGAGCGCGGGCGCGGGCGTGGAGCGCGCGGAGGCCGAGGGGACGCCCTGCAGAGCCGCCGCCCTAGCCGCCTTCCACCTGCGGCTGCGGCACGCGCTCGACGTGCTGGCGCGGGCCAGGTATCGTGACGGGAGCGGGGGCGGGACCGGGACCGGGACCGGGAGAGCGCGGGCGCGGGCGTGGAGCGCGCGGAGGCCGAGGGGACGCCCTGCAGAGCCGCCGCCCTAGCCGCCTTCCACCTGCGGCTGCGGCACGCGCTCGACGTGCTGGCGCGGGCCAGGTATCGTGACGGGAGCGGGGGCGGGACCGGGACCGGGACCGGGACCGGAGAGCGCGGGCGCGGGCGTGGAGCGCGCGGAGGCCGAGGGGACGCCCTGCAGAGCCGCCGCCCTAGCCGCCTTCCACCTGCGGCTGCGGCACGCGCTCGACGTGCTGGCGCGGGCCAGGTATCGTGACGGGAGCGGGGGCGGGACCGGGACCGGGACCGGGACCGGGAGAGCGCGGGCGCGGGCGTGGAGCGCGCGGAGGCCGAGGGGACGCCCTGCAGAGCCGCCGCCCTAGCCGCCTTCCACCTGCGGCTGCGGCACGCGCTCGACGTGCTGGCGCGGGCCAGGTATCGTGACGGGAGCGGGGGCGGGACCGGGACCGGGACCGGGAGAGCGCGGGCGCGGGCGTGGAGCGCGCGGAGGCCGAGGGGACGCCCTGCAGAGCCGCCGCCCTAGCCGCCTTCCACCTGCGGCTGCGGCACGCGCTCGACGTGCTGGCGCGGGCCAGGTATCGTGACGGGAGCGGGGGCGGGACCGGGACCGGGACCGGGACCGGGAGAGCGCGGGCGCGGGCGTGGAGCGCGCGGAGGCCGAGGGGACGCCCTGCAGAGCCGCCGCCCTAGCCGCCTTCCACCTGCGGCTGCGGCACGCGCTCGACGTGCTGGCGCGGGCCAGGTATCGTGACGGGAGCGGGGGCGGGACCGGGACCGGGACCGGGACCGGGAGAGCGCGGGCGCGGGCGTGGAGCGCGCGGAGGCCGAGGGGACGCCCTGCAGAGCCGCCGCCCTAGCCGCCTTCCACCTGCGGCTGCGGCACGCGCTCGACGTGCTGGCGCGGGCCAGGTATCGTGACGGGAGCGGGGGCGGGACCGGGACCGGGACCGGGACCGGGAGAGCGCGGGCGCGGGCGTGGAGCGCGCGGAGGCCGAGGGGACGCCCTGCAGAGCCGCCGCCCTAGCCGCCTTCCACCTGCGGCTGCGGCACGCGCTCGACGTGCTGGCGCGGGCCAGGTATCGTGACGGGAGCGGGGGCGGGACCGGGACCGGGACCGGGACCGGGAGAGCGCGGGCGCGGGCGTGGAGCGCGCGGAGGCCGAGGGGACGCCCTGCAGAGCCGCCGCCCTAGCCGCCTTCCACCTGCGGCTGCGGCACGCGCTCGACGTGCTGGCGCGGGCCAGGTATCGTGACGGGAGCGGGGGCGGGACCGGGACCGGGACCGGGACCGGGAGAGCGCGGGCGCGGGCGTGGAGCGCGCGGAGGCCGAGGGGACGCCCTGCAGAGCCGCCGCCCTAGCCGCCTTCCACCTGCGGCTGCGGCACGCGCTCGACGTGCTGGCGCGGGCCAGGTATCGTGACGGGGGCGGGGGCGGGACCGGGACCGGGACCGGGGCGCTCTCCCGGTCCCGGTATCGATGCTTCATCGATGAGAAACCGAAAATTAAATGTCCAAATAACCTATTGGATAGTATAAAAAATTAAGTACCAATTATTGGCAACTGTATTTAATATGAATATTAGAAGTGATCACATAATTAATTCATTTTGTTATTTTTTTTTGTTCTATGGTCACTTGACCGGAAACGCCTGGAATCGTCATGGAAAAATGACGTCACACGCTAGTAAACTTCCGATCAAAGTGACATTACCTTATATCGTTTGACGCTTTAATGACAGATGTGTGTCTTCACACACTTGCGAGACGCAAGTGTGTGAAGACACACATCTGTCATTAAAGCGTGTCACACCAGAGTGTTAACACCAGAGTGTCCAGAGAAACGATTTCGCGGAAACTTGAAATATGCATTTTAAATTTTTACTGTAATACCCAACAGCAAGCCGCAGCTCCGAGTGGTGGCCTTAGCACTAGCCGGATTGAGCGATGAACGCTTATGGCGCGACGCTTTAGCCGCCGCTACACCGGCATTACCAGACCCGTATCTGCGAGCATTACTACACTTCTTAGCAGCATCAGCCCCGGCCACTTCCCCCACCCCAACTACCCCCCCTGCGGCTTCCACCCCGCACTTGGAAGCGGTGTTGAATGAACGAGGAATGAGACTGGAAGACCGGGTCGCGTTCGCCTGTCTCTACTTGCCTGATGCAGACCTGATCGACTACCTGACGCGGACTAAAGATGAGCTCGTGGAACAGGGCGACCTCTCCGGGATACTGCTCACAGGTAAGTTTTCACCGAATTGTTGTTAGTACTATCTTAGTTTTTTACTTTGCGAAGTTCTACTGCATTTCTTTTTAGAAAACCCAACATACGAGCTGCGTTATTCACTAGATTATCTACATGTGCCGCAAAATTCAATTTACTATCCAGCTTAACACCTAAGTCTCTGACCTCCGTGACCCTTGACAAAGTTACACCGGACAATTCAATTCAAATTATTTATTTCAGAACTAGTGTAACGTACCTTAATATGGTTTCGACTCATGGTTTCGATTATCATAGGTTCCATTTCGCACATTTTATCATATAACATCATCGATATTCATCAGGCATCATCATATATTTTATCATTTATTCCTGGAAACACATAATTTCAAAAATATCACACACTATTCATCACTTTGTAAATACGTATAATAATTTCTTCTGTACTGAAAATCACTATTCCAGAGTGCTGGACACTTACCGGCATTTCTCTTTATTTTGTTATTTACTTGTTTTCACTTATTATGCTTTGATTTTATCTATATTTAATTTATTTATTTTATTGACATTTTATGACAACCTAATGTTTTTTATCCGTTGCCATGGCTACCCATGACACGGATACTCTCTCCAACTACGTCTATGACTATTCAACCTCCACAGACCACTTACTTTGATTCTTTTTGGCTCGATTCGAACCGTGTCTAAATTCAAATGGTTCCGGACCTATAAAAGGCCGAGCCTCCCTGATCATTTATTCAATTCTACGGCAAAAGTTGCCTACTCAACTTTTGAAAGCTCGCTACCGAGCTCTAAATTAATAAAAGGCCTTGTCCCGGGGCCGACTGCCCCGGGACTCAAGAAAGACCTCAAAGCTTTTTAGCACCTATTGGCTCTTTAAACAACTTCCTAACTCCAATACTATACTACTATACACGTTCTCGCAACCTCATCGGTGGGACTGCGCCTGGTCTCCAGCTTCTTCGGCCAGCCTCCAGCTGCTTCAGCCCGCCTTCTACCGACTCCTGCCGTTTCTTCAACGCCCGCCTCTGGCCGATATACGCCGGCCATACTACCAGCAGCGCCGCCAGCAACCACCAGGGGAGGCCAAGATCTAAGACGGCTGCACAGGAGCGCTTCTGCCTCCAAGGAGCGCCGTCCATCTACCTGTAGCACGACCTACCGTTCAAGCTGCCCCTGAAGAGCGCCGACGACCCACGCCCTACCGTTCAAGCCGCCCCTGAAGATCGCCGACGACCCACGCCCTACCGTTCAAGCCGCCCCTGAAGATCGCCGACGACCCACGCCCACTTCACAACTCACACCACACACATACCATACCCATATTTTTTTTTATAAACTGTAAACACTACTTTATCTTGTAAATATATATATCCTATACTGTTCTTTTGATTTTTTTTCTTTTTTTTTGTTTCTATCTAGTTTTATTTTGTCGCTACACGACACTAGGTTCCATAGTGTTAGTTACATTTGATTTACTTATAAATATGTTAGTAAAATAAAGAATTATCAAGAATTACAATGTGTATTTGGCATCAATAGGAAATCTCTCTCTAGTAAAACTGATGGAGCAGCATTTTTGATGTGTAACATCTTTCTCTCGCTTTCCTGCAATTTGTGGGAGTGATTTCGTGAAATGGGACGGAAGTGTGTAACAGGAAGTCGCGAAACCGCGCGCTATTTGATTTGATTTTAGAACATAATGTTATAATGGCTTATTCCTTTTGTAGTAGGTTTTATTTCTTTTTTTACTAATATAAGGTGAGGTTTCAAACACATCATATGCGACTACTGTAAGGCTCGCTCATTTTTTTCGGAGTTTAGTAGCATTCCGTTTGATGGCACCAGACAGATATACCAGACTACCAATTAGAGTCTTGGGACACCCTCCTTACAGTCCTGATTTGGCCCCGCGAGACTTCTTTTTATTCCCTAAATTAAAAAATCTGCTCAAAGGGAAATGTTTTCATCGCCGAAGGAAGCGCTAGCAGCGTTTGAGAAGGCCGTGAAAGAGAAGAGAGTGTCTGCGCAGGGCTGAAAAAATGTTTTGAAAATTGGTTGAGACGTATGAAACTTTGTATAGAGGCAGGTGGAGAGTTCTTTGAAAAGATTTAAAAAATATTTTTCATAGAAGTTAGTTTTTTAGTTTCTCAGAACTTTCTGAGTGTCCCATTGTACAAATCTGATTGTAGGAGACAAGCATCTTCCGTGGTTTTGATACATTTATAAATTTTAATAATATCCGCGAATATGGACAAACTGCTTTAATTTATCACTGTTGCAATATCGTTGATAAATATTAAATATAAGAGGGGTTCAAGGTGAGATCCTTGTGGCACACCTGATTCTGCCAAAAACACGTTGGACTCGAAATCATCCACAGTCACCGTTTGGGGCCTCTATGATAAAAACCATTGCAACAATGATACGCATAATCCCATGTTGTGAAGTTTGGAAAAATTATTGACTTTATCAAATGCACTTGAAAAATCTATCTATACCGCATCTACTTGCAGGCCCCTATCCAAACTTTGCGATATAGACGAGATATATTTTGCTTAGTTTGTTTTTACTTACTTTTTTTTTCAATATGACCGTATATTAGAGGGTATATAAGGCTCTCAAAAAGCTTAGAAAGACACGATAATATAGATATTGGACGGTAGTTGCTGATTTTGCCCTATCGTCCTTTTATAAATTGGCACTATTCTAGTCTTTTTCCACTCCTCTGGAAACAAAGACTGATTAGATATTATTGTTAGTGGTCGTGCTAGAGCAGCGCCACATCTTTTGACAAATAGTGGTGGTATGCTATCGGGGCCAGAACCTTTCGTTTTATTTTCGCAAGCACTTGTGATTCAGTTAGCTGTATGTTCATTAAATTATTGTTATTGGATTCTGCATATGCAACCGGGTTATTTAAGTTTTCTACATGCTCTGAGTTGGCTTTATTTATTGGTTGGTGCCCGAGGACGCAATCGTCTCATTTGATTTCATTTCAGCAGACAAAAATGGATGCGTGTAACTTATGTACGCGCGTCAGAAGTTATACTTCTGTAGCATCATTAAATAGTAGATTGTTAACCGAGGGTGGAAAGAATCAATTCCCGAGGTATTTAGACGCCCGAGCGCAGCGAGGGCAGCTATAGTCCGAGTAGGAATTGATTCTTTTACCCGAGTTAAACACTGTACTTTTCATTTCGAATATGAGGAAAATAAAACTAGTTGTTTATCAAAAATATTTATTCATAAATAGGTATATATATAGGTACAATAAAATTAGAAGTAGCTATTTAAAATTAACTATCATATTAGGACAATTAGTGAAATTAAAATTACATTCTTATTTGGAATGTTTATGCTTTTTGATATACTATTACAAATTTGACTGTTTTGGATATCTGTAAAAGTAGGAGACTCTGTTATTTCATCAAACGATGGATTCCATGGCGGATACTCCCTGGAAGTTTGAAGAAGAAGTGAAGAAGACAGTCCATTAAAATATGTAAGAAATACACTTTCGGGAAACGATTTTATATTCTTCTCTGCTCGCCACTTTATAAAATCATTGTATGTATTCATATATCCTCTTTTGACATTTCTGGCAAAAGATTCTCTATAACACAATTTGCCTCTTCTTTAATTGAATCCGGTGTCAGTATTTCTGAATCGCTTAAACTCATTTTTAATATTCTAATTTAGATTGCTCTGTTTTACTTATAAGATTTTTTTTATTCCGTCACAGGTACATAACAGTTTAGTATCCCGCCAATTTATGTCGACTTTTAAAATTTAAATATGGAACAGAGTAATTGTTGCGGCTTATTCCGCTCAAAGAAGTTTGTGCTAAGTTCACACTGGCTGTTTAGAAACTCACATGGCATCATATTTTTTTTTTTACATAAAACTCTTCACACCTGACAGTAGTTCTATTTTTAAAGTTCATTCCGGCCCTTAGGCGGGAAGTAATTTATATGAGTTTTTCCATCTCTAGGGAGGGAAGCAGCATTTTCCACCCAACAAACAGATCAAAACAACACCACTTTCCGAGAATGAGAAATGAAAAATATTTTTTAATTGCATGCAAATAATTAATAATTACAAAATATTAATCTGTTCCAACTAAGAATAGGATCGACTGAGCGCCATATTGTGATGTCATAGCTGTCAAAAACACATACTTCATATATGTATAAAAATTGATTGTTTTTCCTCACTTAATCTTAGTAAGTTTTTATTAAAAAATCTGATGGTTTGATTTGATGATTGATGATGGTTAGTGACCATGAAAGTTTAAAACAATATACTGATGGTTTTTCTCATTTAACCTAAGTAAATAAGTTTTGTAACACCATAGTATTAAATATCATCACGCCGCCCGTTACTAGATGGCGCTGTACGCATGTGAATCGCGCTATCCTATACCGACACCGATTGTATGGCACATCATAGGATCAAATATCATCACACCGACCGCTACTAGATGGCGCTGTACGCATGTGAATCGTGCTATACTATACTGACACCACTTGTATAAGGTGTTCTTGGGAAATTGACCAAGTCATCGCTTCGTAGGTAGGGCCTATTGTCTTGCACGCTATACGCTTCCACCACGTGGGACGTCTAAGTGTCTTGTTAATAGTATACATGTACTTCCACCCTTGTGGGATACAGTAATACCATTTCTCCTACAAATATTGAATAGTAATCACAATATAAGTATTTTCTACCTACGCCTATCTTTATTTGACGTCAGTCTTCTCACACTCCCCCTTCGCCCTCCCGCACATTCTTACAGTTTTATTAAATAATAAATATTATAAATATGAAAACAGTGATCAGAGGCGACGAGCGTCCCAACATGTGCGACTAAGAGATCCTATTACTATTTTGTTGGAAGCTTTTTTTCGAGACTTACGAGTAATGTGCGGTTTAGCGGCACAGAAAAGCTGTTACAGTGTTGCGCGCGCATCTTAAAATTTCACTCTCATCATTTTTTCATAACGCGCCCGCGGCTAACTTCATTATGTTACTTTTGTGTTACAGTGATGCGCGCGCATCTTAAAATTTCACTCTCATAATTTTTTCATAACGCGGCTAAAGAAGTATAACTTCAATAATACAGAAAAGCCTTTTCGTTTGTCCCTGATGAATAGCCAAAACTTTTTTGGGTTCTTACAAATATCAGATTCGATTTTCCTAAGATAATTGTTTAGGCAAGCACTGGGTAGTTTCGCGAAGGATATTGTATTCATGTTTGTCTCTGGGTTATTTAACTTCGTGTATCTCTTGCGAAGTTTATGTTTTTCGCTCAGTAAGCGTTTGAGTGATTTGTTAAACCACGGAGGATAATTTGAAGGTTTTACAACGTATTTGTGTAACGTGTTTATGGTGGCTGTAAAGTCGTGCAGGTTTTAGCTCAGCGCTTGCGCGTACCTACATTTATTTTACTGCGTCGCGATTTGCGTTAACATCACAGGCGCCATTAAGTTAAAATCACACTATAATTTTTTTTTAATAATAATAATAAAATTTTATTTTAACAATTAGTACAAAAATAATAACTTAAAAGTACAATTTTAGCTTAGGTATAACAAAACATGCGCCTGAACTAAGAAAATCCTGTGTTTCAGGCGGAAACGGGCGATTAATTTCCATTAAAATAACATGTGTATTTATTTATGGTAAATTACAGTAAATTTGGTAAAACATTACACATATAATTAACTTAAAACTAATCTAAAATGATGCAATATACTAGATTCAAGAATAATAATATCAAGAGAAACGAACACTTCTCACAACTATATCCTTATGCTACTTAACTACAACTAATAACTTCTCTGTATCTTCATAGGACATGCATAGTAAGGCTTCTTGTAGGCTTATTTTACAATTTTTGTAATTTAAGGGATATATGTTTTTTATTGCATTTAGTCTATTGTAGAGCAGTGGTCCTAGGAAAGTGAAAAATCTGGATGCAAAAGCTGATTTTGTTCTTCCATATTTCTGGGGGCAAACTAGATCCTTGCGTCTTTTACCAGAAATAAGTTCAACATAGTATGGTACAGCTACGTGCTGTTTTAGTACGATGTTCATTATAAACAGTTGCCGAACTGTTAATACCTTATGAATTTTATAAAGTTCATATGTGGGATAAAAGAAAGGTAGGGAAGATGAAACCTTAAGGATTGCTCTTTGGGCTCTCTCAAGAGTTAGCAGCAATGTCTTACCCACTCCACCCCATGACGTGATACAATATTTTAGTATTGATTGACATAAAGCATAGTATACCTGTTTAATTATTTTACAGTTTGCAATATTGCGCAGTTTTTTAAAGATCATTATCAGCTTACGAATTCTGTTAGTTACTGCAGTAATGTGGTGTTTGTAAGACAGGGTTTCATCTAAAATTATTCCGAGATATTTTAATTTGTCTGTAATTTTAATGGCAGGACATTCACAATTATTATTAAAAGGCTCTGAACTGCAATGATGGGCATATAAAACTGTATTATAGTAGTTTGCTTTTGATTTACGCATCGAAAATTTAATAAAATTTGTCTTGTCTGCATTTAATGTTAGTAAATTGTGTTGAAGCCAATTATTGACAATATTAAAACCACGTTGCGCATGCATGTGTACCTGACTTTCTGACTCGGCTGAAAAAAGGAGAGCTGTGTCGTCAGCGTATGATATAATAGTACCGTTGCTAATTTTAATGTTGCAGAGATCATTTATGTAAATTAAAAACAGAGTAGGGCCTAATATTGATCCTTGTGGAATTCCAAAGGGTGTACAATTTAGATCGGCACTTACGATATTACCTATTTTGACGCATTGGGAGCGGTCTTCTAAATAACTTGTAAAAAGTTTGAGCTGCGTGCAGTTGCAATTGTATCTGTTCAGTTAAAAAACATAGGTATTATATTTGTTGTGGCGGGGCAGGCATCAGCCCGGACGGTGTGCGGCTGCTGCAGCGCTGGCTGGAGCGCACCGGCGACGTACAGACTGCCGCACTGGTGGGGGCGCGCTGCGTGACCCACGACCTCGCGCGCGCGCACCGCCTGCACGACTGGCTGCAGGTGCGTGCAATCAATCAATCAATCAAATCATTTATTGCACCATGTTGTTACATTGATCTTGGATAGAAATTATAATTATAGATACAAACATGACCCTGCTAGGGCATTGCAAAATACTAAATAAACATAAACATTATCTTATGTTTATATGTGCTGTACACACTTAGAGAAAAGTTAATATTTTTACACCGGCATCGAAATACATTTATGAAAACATATGTAAGAAAAAACTATGACGCATTTGCAAACCCATAACTTTTACACGAGATTTAATTACATGCTTACAAGGTACATGGTAACATTCCCGTAAATAACTTATATTACTAAATACTGGTAAAAATAGTTTCGAAATCGGTGAAATGGTTTAAAAATAGATTTTTTCCCCTGGAGATCCCGTGTCCGTGGAATTAACAGAACAAAAGTACTTAATCTTCTACAATTTCAGACATCGAAGATTTCGTTCTGAAAATCAGATAAGTGGTATAGAAACAGGATTTGACACCCGTGGTCTCATTTAGAATTTTTGAGAAAAATGATGTTTTTATTGTAATCCTTTACAATAAAACTTTCTATTAGTGAAATAATTTTTAAAATGGGTCAAGATGACTCCATTCAATGTATCCTTTTCTCTCTTTATATACTCGTAATAGTATGGAGTTTAGATTTCAATTCACGGTAGAATATTCCTTAATCTAAAAATAAAATCCTTTTTCGCTTGATGCCTACGGCGTTTCAATAACCTATTTACCAAATTTTAAACAATCCTATGCACTTTTAGATGTTCTCCCATACAAACTTTGAAATTTTGTAATTTTTTAGAGGATAGTTGTAAAAATTGTATGCAACATGCTTAGTGAACATGAATGTGAATGAACGTTTTTTGCAAATTTCACGCTTAGAGGCTGAATTTCAGAAAATCTCATCTTATTACTTGTCTAGGCATTAATAGGAACTGTACTAATTTCAACATTCTAGGTCCAGCCGTTTCGGCTGTGCGTTGACGAGTTAGTCAGTCGGCCTATCCTTTTCTCTCTTTATATAAAAGCTGACAGTATGTTAGAAACATTGCGTATGTACCACAGGCGTATCGTTCGCTGCTGGACTCGTGGCGCCTGTGGGCGGCGCGTAGTGCGTTAGACACGTGGTGGGCGGCAGGCCCCGGCGCGGGGGCGGGCCCCGGGGCGGGCGCGGGCGCGGAGGGCGGGGACCGGGCCGTGGCGGTGGCCTGCGCCTACTGCGGGAAACCGGTCGCCGCGCCCCCGCATCACCGGCGCGTGCGGGCCCGCCTGCCCCCGCCCGCCGCCAAGATGAAGGTCAGTGCCCTCACACTACACTACACTACACTACACTACACTACACACTATGCGCCTACTGCGGGAAACCGGTCGCCGCGCCCCCGCATCACCGGCGCGTGCGGGCCCGCCTGCCCCCGCCCGCCGCCAAGATGAAGGTCAGTGCCCTCACACTACACTACACTACACTACACTACACTACACTACACTACACTACACACTATGCGCCTACTGCGGGAAACCGGTCGCCGCGCCCCCGCATCACCGGCGCGTGCGGGCCCGCCTGCCCCCGCCCGCCGCCAAGATGAAGGTCAGTGCCCTCACACTACACTACACTACACTACACTACACTACACTACACACTATGCGCCTACTGCGGGAAACCGGTCGCCGCGCCCCCGCATCACCGGCGCGTGCGGGCCCGCCTGCCCCCGCCCGCCGCCAAGATGAAGGTCAGTGCCCTCACACTACACTACACTACACTACACTACACTACACTACACACTATGCGCCTACTGCGGGAAACCGGTCGCCGCGCCCCCGCATCACCGGCGCGTGCGGGCCCGCCTGCCCCCGCCCGCCGCCAAGATGAAGGTCAGTGCCCTCACACTACACTACACTACACTACACTACACTACACACTATGCGCCTACTGCGGGAAACCGGTCGCCGCGCCCCCGCATCACCGGCGCGTGCGGGCCCGCCTGCCCCCGCCCGCCGCCAAGATGAAGGTCAGTGCCCTCACACTACACTACACTACACTACACTACACTACACACTATGCGCCTACTGCGGGAAACCGGTCGCCGCGCCCCCGCATCACCGGCGCGTGCGGGCCCGCCTGCCCCCGCCCGCCGCCAAGATGAAGGTCAGTGCCCTCACACTACACTACACTACACTACACTACACTACACACTATGCGCCTACTGCGGGAAACCGGTCGCCGCGCCCCCGCATCACCGGCGCGTGCGGGCCCGCCTGCCCCGCCCGCCGCCAAGATGAAGGTCAGTGCCCTCACACTACACTACACTACACTACACTACACTACACACTATGCGCCTACTGCGGGAAACCGGTCGCCGCGCCCCCGCATCACCGGCGCGTGCGGGCCCGCCTGCCCCCGCCCGCCGCCAAGATGAAGGTCAGTGCCCTCACACTACACTACACTACACTACACTACACTACACACTATGCGCCTACTGCGGGAAACCGGTCGCCGCGCCCCCGCATCACCGGCGCGTGCGGGCCCGCCTGCCCCCGCCCGCCGCCAAGATGAAGGTCAGTGCCCTCACACTACACTACACTACACTACACTACACACACTATGCGCCTACTGCGGGAAACCGGTCGCCGCGCCCCCGCATCACCGGCGCGTGCGGGCCCGCCTGCCCCCGCCCGCCGCCAAGATGAAGGTCAGTGCCCTCACACTACACTACACTACACTACACTACACTACACACTATGCGCCTACTGCGGGAAACCGGTCGCCGCGCCCCCGCATCACCGGCGCGTGCGGGCCCGCCTGCCCCCGCCCGCCGCCAAGATGAAGGTCAGTGCCCTCACACTACACTACACTACACTACACTACACTACACTACACACTATGCGCCTACTGCGGGAAACCGGTCGCCGCGCCCCCGCATCACCGGCGCGTGCGGGCCCGCCTGCCCCCGCCCGCCGCCAAGATGAAGGTCAGTGCCCTCACACTACACTACACTACACTACACTACACTACACACTATGCGCCTACTGCGGGAAACCGGTCGCCGCGCCCCCGCATCACCGGCGCGTGCGGGCCCGCCTGCCCCCGCCCGCCGCCAAGATGAAGGTCAGTGCCCTCACACTACACTACACTACACTACACTACACTACACACTATGCGCCTACTGCGGGAAACCGGTCGCCGCGCCCCCGCATCACCGGCGCGTGCGGGCCCGCCTGCCCCCGCCCGCCGCCAAGATGAAGGTCAGTGCCCTCACACTACACTACACTACACTACACATTACGCTATCATAGGCCTAAATGAAAGTCGGTCATTTACATTTCACTACCCATACACAATACGACGTTATGTTACACGACCATCAGAGGCCTAAACACGAATTTTTGACAGTTCCGACACATCGCATCGCCAAAGTTTCTATGAAAACTTAACAGTTCCCTTAGTACAAGTTTGCGCTCACGAAAACTATCATAGTTTTCGTAATTGTAAACTATGTTTCTATGTCCATTTTGGTGAAAAGTAACCAAATATACTTAAAATTTAAGATAGAATTTAAACACTGTTTATGTCTATTAAAACAGAAACAATAAAATCAACGAGTGCAAGCTCACGAAAACCATCATAGTTTTCGTAATTGTAAAACTCGTACTAAGGGTACAGTATCGGACGTAAAAACAAACTAACTTATTCCATAAAAAAAATTACGACGACATCATGAAGGAGCTGTCGAAAAAAAAAATCGTGCTTGGGCCACAGTAATGAGGACAATAAACATTGAGAATAGACTGAGTAACACTCGCACGATATTGATAACTCTCAAGAAAAACGCAAAAACAACTAATTTGAAGAAGAACTGTAGACCAATGTATCGATTTGTCTCTTACACTTACTTTTATTTTACTTAACAATTTCATAAGAAAATGGTGAATATTATACGACTCGAAGGACCATGACATACGATTCTTACATACCGGCGCGCGTCGGATCACAGCGCAGCGCATTTTACAATTTGGTAAAGGAAATTGAAACATCCACACAGTAGTTAAGTCCTTTATTTGAGTGCAATTCAAACAGCTATGAAGCCGATCGGCTACATTCTGATACAGTTGCACTCGATTCGCGTGTCAGTAAGGGAGAATCGTACATATACGAGTATGTACGAGCCCCAGTCTAAATGTTATCTAAATTGCTACATCTTGACATGGAAAGCTAAAAAGTCATGCAGTACTTGCCATGGTTTGAATTTGTATTTTTTTTCTACTTTTTAATTAGTTCCATTTGGAAAACAGCTTTCTGTGAAAAGGGAAATTAAATAGTAAAAAAAAAATTACCTGCTAATTATTTTTACTACAAATGTGACAAGGAATGGAGAAATATTATTGTCTTATTCACACTAATTGCGTTGTATGTTTGATTACGTCATATTATGTTTTACAGTTTGGTCTCTTCGATTATGATGATGATGCTAAATCTACGCGATACCTAAATCTGCGCGGCAAAAAATTAGGTTACTTTTTCTCACGAAAAAATAATTTCGACAGAGTGAAATGCGAGATTAAAAGTTTATAGAGAAAATATTTTTGAAGTTATACTTCTTTAGGCGCGTTATGAAAAAATGATGAGAGTGAAATTTTAAGATGCGCGCGCATCACTGTAACACAAAATTTTAACAGCATGAAGTTGGTCGCTTTAGCGGCCAACTTCATGCTGTTACATTTGTGTTTACCGCACATTAAGAAAATCTACCAACAAAATAGAAACAGAATCTCTATTTATAATCCATTCACTTTGGCGTGAGACAAAATGTAAACAAACCATAAAATTGATACTTTTTAAGGTCACGTTTGACAAAAGCAAAGATTAAATACTATTTACATAGGAAATGCAGCGAAAATTTAAGTTAATTATTTTAAAACCTGTTGCATACATATGAATAATAAAATAAAATATTTTACATTATATTCAACGTACATTCACATCATAAATTCGTATATTTTTAATTTGCTGGTAAAAGTATTTTAACAACTTAAGTTGACATGGAAAAAGACCTAATAACACAATCATTCCCAAACCTAAGACGTATTATAATACGACAAAATTTAAGAGATGACATGATACAAGTATTTTACGTTGCAGTGTTGTGTTTTGTAATCGGTTGGTTTATGTCAGCCATCTTTACTCTCCCGATCAACCTGTTGACGCGAGCGTGCTTAGTCAATCTTATTTGTTAAATTCTTGTTATTTCCTTATTTTATTTGTTAAGTTTGTTGTTATTTTATTTACTGTTAAGTTTAAAGTTGTTTGTGATTGTTTTCTTGTTTAATTGACGTTTTCGTAGCTATAGTTATGAGTGGTGAACCGGGACCAAGCAGCTCTTGTACATTTTCTTCGCCGAAGAAAAAGCGTACAAAGAGTGGACCATTGCGCTCCAACGAAAAGGAGCTCGTGATAAATGTTTTTAAACATGTTGAAGAAACCTGGCCAAAAGATTCATATCCATATAGAAGTGATATAATCAATAAATCCGCCGAAATACTGCGCATATCACGAGTTACTGTTTACCGGTTGGTGAAGGAAAAGAAAAGTACTGGCCGTATCTCATCACCTCCGCCTCCGCCATTTAAAGTATCTTTGTTGGATAGGATACATTGGACGATATGGATAAGGCTGCGATACGCCGCAAAGTCCACACATTTTTTTTAATAACGAGATGCCCACCGTTGACAAAGTATTGCATGCTGAGAATACAGATGAAACTTTGCCCAACTTTATGAGGACCTCTTTTTTCAAGTTGATGAAATCATTACAATTTAAATATCCGAAAGAGTGGGCTTATTGAAAGAGATGACATTGTTTAATGGCCCATCAAATATTTAAATAATATTCTAAAGCTCAGGAGCGAAGGTAGAACTATTTATTACACTGAAGAAACTTGGATAAATGAAGGTTAGTAAAATACAATATTAAACTACTTTATTCTGTGGGAAATTTACTTCTGAATGAAATTATATTTCCTTTTGTATTCATAAACTGATAAACTAAATTCATATTTTTTATTGTTTATCATCACAGTACTAAAATATATTAATTTCTATGCACATAAATTTATTATAATCTTTTTATAAATATTGAATGATACTTATTATTTTCATACCATGTCTTTATCCTGTGAAAATGTTACTCAAATATGTTGTGTCATGTTACCAGTTGTATTAAATAAATTATTATTGTTTTTATTTTTCATAAGTTGTTAATGAACTTATATTTGTTACAGGATACACTATGAACAAAATTTGGCAAGATCATACAATTAAAACTGCGAAAGAAGCTCATCGAAAGGGATTGTCAATAGGATTGAAAACCCCAAGTGGAAAAGGGAAGCATCTGATTGTATTGTACATATGGGCACAAGTCAAGGGATATATTGGTAAAAATAATAAAACATTTAAGATGACTGAAATTAAAAATTAGCCGATGCCTTACAATCAATCACAGCTGAATCGTGGAAACGTTGCATTGACCATGTCATTAAAGAAGAGCAGAAAATGCTGAAATTGAATGGTATTGTTGATGATGTTGTGGATAAATTTATTATTAAAGTTGGTGCATCCAGTGAGTTGTCAGACAGTGAATAAATATTATTTGGTATTATGCTGGTTTCATTTGAAATACACATTCTTTTATTATATTTATCATCAAGACAGAATTCATTATAATTTTAATATAGGTTACATAAAAGATATACCTAATCATTGACTAGTAGGTACTTTCTGGACATTATAAAAGTTTTAGAACCTCAGATTCTTTGTTTACATTTTGTCTCAAGCCAAAGTGAATAGACTATAGTGGGTGCTAACGACTGCATTGTGAAGGCCTACCAAAAGTATTTATTAATCGGGAACAACGGAACCAAAGCGCGATTCAGGAGACTACAGCGCCATCTCTTGACCATTGGTGTAGTAGAACCAAAAACCACATCTTTATTTTTTAAATAATAAAGTAACAGTTATAGGTATTCATATTTATAATATTTATCCACATGTTTCTAGTTTGTATATTCGGAATACGTGTTTGAGTTTCATACAAGTGCAAATCACATATTATTATGTTCTAATAAATTATATTCAGTAGCGATTTTAATTGAATATTTTGATTATTTATTTATTTTTTCAAATTAAAACTGAACTTTATTGACTGTGTCCTTTTCCAGAATTTTTATTAATTTATTGTAATTAATTATTTGCATGCAATTAAAAACTAATTTTAAACGATGCCAAAGAAGGATAACTTCTCACGCGCCTACATAAGTACACGCACCCATTTTTTTTCACTATTTTTGCATCACATTTCACATTGTTCCGTGTAAACGTAATCGCGGGCATTCGCTAGCAATTTTAATATAGAAAACTCTTGTGTAAGATTTAATGTGTCCGAATAATCTTTGAGTTTAGTCTCCAGACTGAATAGAATAGAATAGAATTGAATAATTATTTATTTGCGTTTGAACAGGGTAATCAAGGTCATAAATAGTTACACATAACTATACTGTAGGTTTCACCTATTCAGCTATAGACCGTAGCATGCAAATTTACATCAGTTTTTTATCAAATTAATTAATATTCTGTCACATGATTGAATAAAAATTACTTAACAGGTCACAAAATAAATAGTCAAAAATATAAAAATTCGATTAAAATCAGGTCATATTAAAATGTGAATCAAAAAATAAATAAATCAGTATATGTCACTCAAAATTTCATACACAAAATTAGTATTATTTATATATTAGCTATTATAATTCAAGAATTCCTGGACCGAGTAGAATTTACGTTCAATGAGCCATCTATGTAGTGTTATTTTAAATCTACTGAAAGGCAAATCTCTTATTGAATGTGGAATATTATTAAAAATTTGAATGCACATATAGTAACAGTTCTTTTTAAAACTGCATAAACAATATTTGTGGTATAACTCGTGCCATTAAAGAAACGAATCGAAAATGCCGACGTAAGACATTTCGTGTCTCTCGCACATTACTATGGATAGCATGTGCGAGAGGGACAGCATGACTTACATCGGCATTTGCGATTCGTTTCTTTATTGGCGCGAGTTATATAATGATAACTTTATAATTTTTATATTAAGAACTTTGATAGATCCGTAATCGCGTCGTAATCGTTAACTTTTGTATGTAAGGAGCCAGTTTATTCTACGTCCGCCAGGGGCGCTGCTCAGTTTTCATAGACACTTCGACGATGTGATGCGTTTACGGAGCTGTCAAAGTGTCAAACATATTTTATTATAGCGGCCAAGTTTTGTTTGTGTAGCAACTGTCGTCGTGCCCCAACTGCCGCAAGCCTCTGCCCCGATGCGGCGTGTGCTCGCTTCACTTGGGGGCGGGTGGGGTCGGGGGCGGGGTCGCGGGGTCGGGGTCAGGGTCAGGGTCGGGGTCAGGGTCGGGGTCGGGCGCGGGGGCGGCCATATTCGGCGGGTGGTTCAGCTGGTGCGTCGCGTGTAGGCACGGAGGTCATGCGGACCATCTGCTCGAGTGGTTCAAGTAAGTATTGACGTTTATAAGGAGTTCTACTTGTATACTTCCAATCAGAAGTGCTATTCAAAATATATAAAGAGTTGTTACCTTAACTGGAAAGAATATTTTGATGAAAGATCAAAAGAAAAAGGAATATGGTATAAAACCATACAGAGTCAGCCTCTACGAATACCGTGGTTTATTAATTTAACATTAAGTCGACGCTTTGTAGTGACCTTAGATAGACTTCGTTCTGGACATTATCCATGTGACAAGTTTGGACATCTTATGAAAAAAATTGAGTCTCCCGACTGTGAAATATGCTGTGTTGTAGAAGATCTCCAGCACTTGTTGATGGATTGTGTCCGGTACCAGGATGAGAGACAAGAGTTTGTTAAAAAATGTAAATTGAATATGTCAGACATTGGTGTGTTTCACAGCGTTCTGGCCCAACCGGTCTCGGAAGAGGCTAGAATGCTGTATCGCTTTATATGTCTGCCGCGACTTTCTTCCGACAATAACATATTACGTTAATTGGCTTAGATGATTTGTTAATTTATATAAGTACACGATGGGACTGACATGTCTGTAAAGATAAAAGTCCTGTAAATAAAGAGAGAAAAAAAGTGCTATTCAACTGTTTTTCATACTTGACACCAATTTCTTACTTTATTACTTAAAAACTAACATTATAATGACATCATAAATATTTAGTCATATTTATTGGCGAGGAGCTCGATGGCGCAGGTGGCTAGCGCGTTCGGCTACGATCGTTGAAGTTAAGCAACTTTCGCAGTGGTCGGTCATTGGATGGGTGACCAAAAATTTACTATCTCGAGCTCCTCCGTGCTTCGGAAGGCACGTTAAGCCGTTGGTCCCGGCTGCATTTGCAGTCGTTAGCACCCACCAATCCGCACTGGGCCTGCGTGGTGGGTCATGGCCCAATCTCCCTATTCCATCCATAGGGAAGGCCTGTGCCCCGGCAGTGGGGACATTAATAGGCTGATGATGATTTATTGGCATATCATGATTTCGATTAAATTAAAAAAACCCTTTAAAACAGAGATATCGGTTTGTCTACTTTTTTTTATTTATTAATGCTAATGACCGACAGGCCTGTTGCTTAACTGATTTGCAACCAGTTGTTACAGAATTGTTTGACTAAAATATATTATACACTCAAAATGTTCCTAAAAATTATTTAAACTAAATACCATCACGCAAACAGTACTGAAGGCGGAGTTCCTATTCTAAACCATTATTACCGCAGACTCAATCGCGTCAACTGTTGCTTTCAGAAATAACCTGCCGAGCGATAAATGGCCTGCGTTTACGCATGGTTAGCTGATACGGTTGATTTTAGCCTGTACCCTTAGCACGAACCAATATCGAATTCGTATCGTTCGCGAATACTAAATGTCATTGTCAAATGTGTACTGATTTTTAGTTCTGGTTACGTACATTATGGCGCTAATGTTCAAGTTTTCCTACAAAAAATTGACAATGACATTTCGTACTCGCAAACGTTACGAATTCTATATTAGTTCGTGTTGAGGGTACAGTATTTATGTAATATGTAATATGCGTGTGGTTTGTCCTCAGGGAGCACACAGAGTGCCCGGTGAGTTCGTGCAACTGTCACTGCAGCATACTAGACCCCCCCGACAGACTATAATGTAGAAATAACTCGACTTGATATTTAGTATAAGAAGTGATTGACGGCCTCGTCTCAAAAGTTCCAAGTTGGAAGAAAATGAACTTTCGATGCTGCCTCTGATAGTTGTTTTTATAATTATAAAATAATCTATTTGGGCATACTATGATTAATTGATATTGTTGTTTTATATATATTCTAGCTCAGTTACTGGACAGGTTTTGTAACTATACTCTAGTCTGTAGTGGAGCTCTTCTTTACAATTTAAGAGGGGAGGCGGGCAAACGTTCTCGACAGATTCCTCCTTGAGTTTTAGTACTAAAAAAAATTTATTCATACATTAAATATAACTTTACTCATTCTATGCTCTACTGTCTTTCTTTTTTCGATAACTTGCGTTTCAAAGCAACTAGAAGCCTTTAGAAATGCCTTTTTTTCTTCGCTAAAGACGTCTAGTTTGACTTATACAAAAAGCATTTATAATATATATATTGTATGGGTAAAATTTCCTTCACATATATCTAAGTTTCGAGAAGGAAATCGTCGAGAGCCAAACATCGAATTTTACAATTCTTTTATGTAATTTTCAGCGTTAGCTACTGTTGTCCCTATAGTACGATATCTGCCAATGCGTAGCTAATAGTGCTCAAACGTCTCTTAGCTCGCGTCCGCTCTTAAGCAAAAGTGACGATTTCTCTAATCAATTTGTATACATATAAGAAATAGTGAAGATAACAAACAAAGCTGCCTGTGTTATAACAGGGAATTGTAAACCGACATAACGCCTGATAACTAAACAACATTAATGTTATGACATTAACTTAGTTGTAAATAACTGTTGTAAATATATATAATGTACATTTGGAGATAATTCTTGGTCAGAATATAATTAGCTGATGATTTGTTCTGACGTTGAATCGACTTTTTATAACCAAATAGCTTTTTGTATATTGTGCATTTTGACTATTCGTTTATAGTTTATCGGGCGTCATCGAGAATATATATATAAAGACTTAATAGATTTTATTATTTTTAATATATATTATGATAATATATATATTTATTATATATTATCGAAAAAATATGGACTTTAAATTAGGATTATTTTATGAGGTGTGTTCAAAGTGCGATACAGTTTTAAAATGAAATAATAAGCTGGCAGTCAATTAATTTACTCATGTTCCTAAGATGAATCGGTAGATAACAATCCAATGTAAGCATTTTTAGTCATGACTAAGGGCTCATCTCATGGTCTTGCGCTCTCTCTAAACTGAGTTTGAGTGTATTATCTCCATAGGCAAGGAAATAAACAAGTCGTAGTGTCTGCAAGTAACTATTGTTTGTACTTAAAGTATATTTTAACATTTCTCACTCATATTAAAGGGGACACGTGCTTAGCGTCAGTTTAAAGAGTATGCAACAATCAATAATGCAGAATCTTAAGTTTGAAGCGATTAATTTCATACTTATAGCGTAAAAAGCTTGGTATGGGTAGGTTGGACAGGGGGGTTTTTAGTCATGTCAATAACTTATTCTAGTCTCGATTACTTTGTTATAAGAAGACTGTACTTGATACAATGCTAAGTTCACGGGTAGTTTTTGCACTTCAATTTTATTTTAATAATAAAGCTCTGAACTATGGTAAGCATCTGTTGCTCGTGCTTTGTAATAGTGACATCTATATTGTAGGGGGGAGTGTATGTAGCGTATATGATTCCGTTATCTGATATATTGTAATCAATTTGCAATGGAATGGAAGTACTGATGTATATAAGGCCTTTATTTTTATAACAACATTTAGGTGATAAGAAATTTTTATTTTTGTATAACGGATAATTAAGAGCTAAATTAGTCTATTTTTTTGCACGAACATTAATAAAGATTAAAGGAAAACCGCATTGCGGGGGAAATAAAAATGCGTTTTAATAATTTCAGATATATTTCCAAATATATATATAATATATATACATTTATTTAATAATTATTTCATCTGTATTCCAATTCAACAATAAAATTCTCAAAGACACAACATTGTTTTAACTCTGTTTATCGTACAAGGATCGCATCCCGCGTACGTCACCACTTACAACACGTATACAGACAGACAGACAGCCATCATACAAAAATATATCGGCGGCGGTCCGGTGGAGGCGACCGCGCGCACCATACTCTGGGCAAGTTTACTGTTTTGTGTACTCACGGTAACTATTCATCATTTATACAAAAAGAACCAGCCAACATTAATACTTCCCATAAATCTCATTTCATAAAATTCTCATCTCAGATACAAATACACACTGTTTATATTACAAAACCATAGAGTTACCGCGCTCGCGGCGTCTGCTCCCCCTCCCTTCCCCTCCCCTCCCCTTCCCCTCCTCGGCTGCATATTATACATACATACACATATTGCACTTTCCACTTAATTAACGAGGAATCTTAGAATCGTTTACAGATGGCCCGAGGCCGCAACAACAGTGGCGTAATATACTCTTTAATATCATAAGACAATGCCGTCTTTGGCGGCATACAAATCGAAAAATGCTTTCGCATTACAATATCAAAAATTGAAAATTCACATAGAGCGCGGGTTCCGCCGCGACGGGGAAACTACAAAATCAGAAAATCGTCGAGCCCTCGAGCGACATCTTTATTTATCACATAGAAAACACTGATCACAGCGTACCGTCTAGGACACCACCGAATATAAATATAAATAAATAATGAAAACTCCACACGAACGGTCGCGAGGCGGCGCGGCGGGGCCTATCTTTGGTTGCGCCGACCCCACTCGACTCCGATTCATATTATATTATTATATTTTGTACACATCGTTAAATATACTCTTCTACGATTTAAAGCTTTCAAATTAAGATTTGTCTTAATTTTACCACCTACACATAAACTCTACGCGATCGCTAGATCCTCGTGAACCACGACGAATGACACCTCACGAAATATACAGACAGCGCGGCGGCGGGCGGCGGGCGGGCCGCTGGAATGTGCCGTACAGGGGCGGGCCCCATCCGGGGCGGGCCCGATCCGGGGCGGGCCCGATCCGGGGCGGGCCCCAGCCAGGGCGGGCCCTCACGCTCACTTGCCCTCGTCCTGTTCCATGGGCTCCTCCGACACCGATCGCGAGCTCTCTGACGACCTGCTAAACAGACAAAATGTTTCATTAAAATACGTTTTACCATAAATGCTACTATTGTTAAAAGGACGAGTTCATAAATTAATTTGAATAAGAGACCAATTTCCTCGTAATAGTCCAGGAATTTAGCACCAAAAATCGGTCCGCTCTGCATAAAATCCTTCTACGTGATTTTTTGATTGGATTATATCAGAGGGTGCCCCCTAAGTATAAAACCGAGTTTCTGTCGCCCGAAACCGCGAGCGTTAGGCGCCATCTTGGAAACCGTTTTTTTGCATATATCTCGGAAACGGTAAGTTTTACGTTAAAAACCGAAGAGATCTTTTTTGTAGAGAACAAAATTTCCCATCTTTTTTATACCAAACTTTTCCCCCTATTGTTGATATTTTCCGATATATTGAAGTAAAAAAAACAAATTTTTTGTTTTTGTAAAGTATCTCAATAATTTTCAGAGTTACGAAAAAAATGTTTGAATTAAAGTTGGATGCAGGTAACATGGACTTGGAAGAAGAAAATTCGCAAACCTTCCAAAATCGCCCTTCCGGTTGTAAACAGCGAAAAATTTTATAAATCTAACATCGACGAATAAAATTTGTCAAATACAATTTATTAAATTAAGACAGAAACTCGGTTTTATACTTGGGGGGCATATAATCCAATCGAAAAATAACGTAGAAGGATTTTATGCAGAGCGGACATCTAAAAATCTTGGACTATAATTTAAATATAAATAAAGGGTGGTAAAAAGTGTATGGCCATCTGATGCTAAGCGGCTTCCATAGCCTATACTCTATATTAAAAATATAATCTGCACTAACCAACTACGTGAAGTATTGGAATGTTACTCACAGACAGAAACAACACCATATAATGGTAGTGTTATTCTACTGTGTTGTCTCTTCTAAGGTGGAGATTACTTCACTAGACGAGCGCTCCAATTCGAGCGAATAATCCGCTATACCCTACCTCTTATTCTACATTGTGAAAAGGTCGAAACCTCCAAATTAATTATCATCATCAGCGGTTCCCACTGCTGGGGCACAGGTCTACCCTATGGATGGAATTGAAGTTGGAAATTGGGCCGTGACCCACCACGCGGGACTGCGGATGCAGCCCGAACCAACGGCTCACAGTGCCTTCCAAAGCACGGAGGAGCTCGAGATTATAAGTTTATGGTCACTCATGTAATGACCGACCATTGTGAGAGTTACTTCCACAATTGCAGGTTAAACTGCTAACCACTATCGTCATCGAGCTCCTTAATAGGAGCTTACTAGAAAAAAATCCACGCGGACCAGGCAGCGGACGGGACTCGAACCCGCATCCTTCGCTATCCGGGCGAATGCACTGACCATTATGCTACCACGGCCCTTTTAGCCGCGTCGAAATTTTCCTAGCCTTAAGCTGCAAGGCAGCGCCATCTCTTCGCATTGTTTTGACATTGTGGGTTATCTACGGATTTTTTTCTAGTAAACTTTTCTTTAGATTTAAACATCTAGCAGTAAAATGCTTAAAAAAATAAATAAAATCATAATCAATAGGAGCGTTGAAACGTTTCTGTGCATGAAAGAATGTATGTAAGAATTTGACGACCTCCGTGGCCGAGTGGTCTGTACGCCGGGTTTCATGGTGTCGCCAACTCGAGAGGTCCCGGGTTCGAATCCCGGTGGGGGCAGATGTTCGTGTGATGAACACTAGCATTTGTACTCCAGTCATGGATGTTTAATATTATGTATTTCTATATAAATATACTTATATATGTAAAGTATATGTATTCTATCCGTTACCCTAGTATCCCATAACACAAGCCTTATAGTGCTTACTTTGGGGCTAGGCTAATTGGTGTGAGTGTTGGAAATATTTATTTATTTATTTATTATGTATACGGACCTGTGTAGCGGGGCATGCGTCATGGACAGCGTAGCCATGGCAGCGGCGGTATCGGCCGCGTCCCGCTCGCTCTGTAGCCGGCGCCCGCAGCCCGGCGACGCCTCCAACGCCGACAGACCTATCAGTTCCGTGTACCGCTTCACCTGCAACAAACGATCACGTTTATAACAAACCTAACTTTCTTTGTAAATAGCCGAGGATCAATGTTACTCCCTTATGTTTAGCCTCCGTTTCCATAAGGGCCAGCTCTGCGATCCTACATGGTACTGCGGCGATCTACCCTGAAGGCCTACCCTGGGAGCGTAGCGATAATAATTGAAACCATTTTGATTTTATATGTTTTTGGAACGAAGTTCCTTACGGCAGGCTTGGAGGGATAGGGATTTTGCTGCGCGACCGAACTGAAAAAAATGTGATAGTAAAACCGTAAGAAAAAATCCGTGGAAAAAAGTGCGTGGAATAAAACCGTTAAATGAAACGTGCGCAGGCGCGACAGTCGCATACATAAGCGAGTTTGCAATTTGTGTCGATTCTACATTAGCCGAAGGAACTTCGTTCCTACCTGGTGTCTCACGACACCGCATCATTTCTTTTTTATATTAGATTTCAGGCGGATATTATAATTGAGCTTAATCTATTAACGCATGGTTTAGTATTAAAATCATGACATTAACTTTTTAATATGACTGCCAGCCGGAGGAAAAACTCTTTGTTCGTAGTTTACCCAAACAATGAGGCTGTGACGTAACGGACGTTACAGTACTCACCGCGGGCCAGTGTTGGGCCTGCGTGGCGGCGGCGGCCCGCAGCGCCCGCTGGGCGGCGCGGTGGGGCGGGCGGGCCAGCTCGGGCAGGGCGGGCGGGGCGGTCCGACATGGTACTCACCGCGGGCCAGTGTTGGGCCTGCGTGGCGGCGGCGGCCCGCAGCGCCCGCTGGGCGGCGCGGTGGGGCGGGCGGGCCAGCTCGGGCAGGGCGGGCGGGGCGGTCCGACATGGTACTCACCGCGGGCCAGTGTTGGGCCTGCGTGGCGGCGGCGGCCCGCAGCGCCCGCTGGGCGGCGCGGTGGGGCGGGCGGGCCAGCTCGGGCAGGGCGGGCGGGGCGGTCCGACATGGTACTCACCGCGGGCCAGTGTTGGGCCTGCGTGGCGGCGGCGGCCCGCAGCGCCCGCTGGGCGGCGCGGTGGGGCGGGCGGGCCAGCTCGGGCAGGGCGGGCGGGGCGGTCCGACATGGTACTCACCGCGGGCCAGTGTTGGGCCTGCGTGGCGGCGGCGGCCCGCAGCGCCCGCTGGGCGGCGCGGTGGGGCGGGCGGGCCAGCTCGGGCAGGGCGGGCGGGGCGGTCCGACATGGTACTCACCGCGGGCCAGTGTTGGGCCTGCGTGGCGGCGGCGGCCCGCAGCGCCCGCTGGGCGGCGCGGTGGGGCGGGCGGGCCAGCTCGGGCAGGGCGGGCGGGGCGGTCCGACATGGTACTCACCGCGGGCCAGTGTTGGGCCTGCGTGGCGGCGGCGGCCCGCAGCGCCCGCTGGGCGGCGCGGTGGGGCGGGCGGGCCAGCTCGGGCAGGGCGGGCGGGGCGGTCCGACATGGTACTCACCGCGGGCCAGTGTTGGGCCTGCGTGGCGGCGGCGGCCCGCAGCGCCCGCTGGGCGGCGCGGTGGGGCGGGCGGGCCAGCTCGGGCAGGGCGGGCGGGGCGGTCCGACATGGTACTCACCGCGGGCCAGTGTTGGGCCTGCGTGGCGGCGGCGGCCCGCAGCGCCCGCTGGGCGGCGCGGTGGGGCGGGCGGGCCAGCTCGGGCAGGGCGGGCGGGGCGGTCCGACATGGTACTCACCGCGGGCCAGTGTTGGGCCTGCGTGGCGGCGGCGGCCCGCAGCGCCCGCTGGGCGGCGCGGTGGGGCGGGCGGGCCAGCTCGGGCAGGGCGGGCGGGGCGGTCCGACATGGTACTCACCGCGGGCCAGTGTTGGGCCTGCGTGGCGGCGGCGGCCCGCAGCGCCCGCTGGGCGGCGCGGTGGGGCGGGCGGGCCAGCTCGGGCAGGGCGGGCGGGGCGGTCCGACATGGTACTCACCGCGGGCCAGTGTTGGGCCTGCGTGGCGGCGGCGGCCCGCAGCGCCCGCTGGGCGGCGCGGTGGGGCGGGCGGGCCAGCTCGGGCAGGGCGGGCGGGGCGGTCCGACATGGTACTCACCGCGGGCCAGTGTTGGGCCTGCGTGGCGGCGGCGGCCCGCAGCGCCCGCTGGGCGGCGCGGTGGGGCGGGCGGGCCAGCTCGGGCAGGGCGGGCGGGGCGGTCCGACATGGTACTCACCGCGGGCCAGTGTTGGGCCTGCGTGGCGGCGGCGGCCCGCAGCGCCCGCTGGGCGGCGCGGTGGGGCGGGCGGGCCAGCTCGGGCAGGGCGGGCGGGGCGGTCCGACATGGTACTCACCGCGGGCCAGTGTTGGGCCTGCGTGGCGGCGGCGGCCCGCAGCGCCCGCTGGGCGGCGCGGTGGGGCGGGCGGGCCAGCTCGGGCAGGGCGGGCGGGGCGGTCCGACATGGTACTCACCGCGGGCCAGTGTTGGGCCTGCGTGGCGGCGGCGGCCCGCAGCGCCCGCTGGGCGGCGCGGTGGGGGGGCGGGCCAGCTCGGGCAGGGCGGGCGGGGCGGTCCGACATGGTACTCACCGCGGGCCAGTGTTGGGCCTGCGTGGCGGCGGCGGCCCGCAGCGCCCGCTGGGCGGCGCGGTGGGGCGGGCGGGCCAGCTCGGGCAGGGCGGGCGGGGCGGTCCGACATGGTACTCACCGCGGGCCAGTGTTGGGCCTGCGTGGCGGCGGCGGCCCGCAGCGCCCGCTGGGCGGCGCGGTGGGGCGGGCGGGCCAGCTCGGGCAGGGCGGGCGGGGCGGTCCGCTCCCCCAGCAGGGCCCGCACGCACTCCTGCGCGCAGTCGCACACCGCGGGCAGGTCGTAGCCGCCCTCCAGTGATAACACCACCTGGAGACCAGGGAATCTCATCATATTTATGCCAAACGAAAGGCTAACTGACACTTTTTGGAAATACGAGTAGTTTTAAATAGTTAATAATTGTTCTATTAGATAGAAAAAAATGTATTGTATTTTTTGTGAACTAGAAAGCTACAAAACTTTAATTTTAAAATAGATTTTTCAGGGACATACAAAAACGCCGTCGGCCATTTTAGTCTATCTATGCTATGACGACAAAAAAAGTGTAAACACACTCGCAAGCACGTGAGAAATATCCTATCTGAAGTTATATTAGAAATCATGAATCCATGATTGACATTGAGATAACAATTAATTTAGTAATTATCATAATTGTATTTTACGAAAATGCAGAAACACATCGTTAAAGACTCCAGAAAAGTTGTGGATTAAATTGCCTAGAGCAATACACATACCTACGCATGAACACACGTTTAAAACTTACTAAATCCTGTAACTTTATCGTCTGAAAGTCATTTCTTTTAGCTAAGATCACTTAGATTTAAAGTACTCATTGCATAATATTTAAAGTTTAAAATACATTTTTTAAGGTTATAAGTGTACCTACATAGTAAGTTAAAGAGTTTTGTCGTATCTGCTTTCACAAATCCAGCGTCCAGTATTAATTTAGTCAACAAAACCATTAAACGGAAACTTTTCTATAAGATAAAGAGTTTATAGATATATTTTAGATATGTTTATAGATATATTTTATACGCTGGATGCGGGCAGCGCAGGACCGATCGTTGTGGAGATCCTTGGGGGAGGCCTATGTCCAGCAGTAGGCGTCATACGGCTGATATGATGATGATGATGATGATGAGATATATTTTAGTCCGGCGAAAGAAATCACAGTAACACGACAATTACGTTATTTGTTTACAAATTTTGTGACGTTACAATCATGGTGGACAAGGTTTTTAGTGTTTAAAGAGCATAGACTAAAAACCTATTTTTCAAATTAAATTACGACAGCCATCTTCTAATTTTATGAAGTGAAATCGATGAATTGAGGTTGATTGATGAATTGAGCAAAAATTATAAGAAATAAACATTTGTATAGTGCAATTTCACATGAGTTAACTAACCTATTCTATCATGCGATGCCACTATGTATATCTATATCCGCAATTTTTCTAATAAAGACAAGTATAAGACGGCTTTTATTGTTTGATGTTCAACCGATCGATCATCTATCGTATCTGAATATACCATAAAGTTACAAAATATTTGATTTTCTATGCGAAAAAGCTATAAAAGTTCATTTAAAATAAGCAATTTAAAAACATTCAAATATATAATCTTTAAATCCGACCTCAAATGTACAAAGGAAAATCAATTAATGAAAGAATAGTCAAGTAGAGTCTGTGCGGAAAGAGAACGGGCGTGGCGAAAACCGGAACTAACATTAAGATTTTTATTTGGCAATCAAACCCAGCAATCTGTAAAACGTCAAAGTTTTGTATTGATACGGATTTGTTTGCTGTTGTGATTTCTTGCGGTTTTTTGTATTTAATCCTGTCTAAAAGGGGTAAAACCTTACAAACACGGTAGAATAGCACTACAGCACCCTCCAATATAAATTCTATTCTCTTTCCGCACAGACTCAAAAAGAAAATAATAGAGAGAACGAGACCCGCATGCAACGCTCGATATGTCGGGCGCGTACCTTGCCCTGCGCGAGGGTCATGAGGTCGCGCGTCATGGCGGCGAAGCATGCGGGCGACACGCGGTACCCGCCCAGCGGCGCGGGGTGCCCCGCCGCCGCGTCGAACCCGCACGACACCAGCCCCACCTGCATCATATGTCGGGCGCGTACCTTGCCCTGCGCGAGGGTCATGAGGTCGCGCGTCATGGCGGCGAAGCATGCGGGCGACACGCGGTACCCGCCCAGCGGCGCGGGGTGCCCCGCCGCCGCGTCGAACCCGCACGACACCAGCACCACCTCCGGGTTGAACTCCTGACAAACGACACATACATATACATATTATTATACACGAAGCGTTAACAAACATACAACTACCTACGTTCGGTATTTGCATCGAAGTTGTTTAACATTAATTATCTTACCTAATGAATGTATAACCGAATTTATTTGCAGATATTTAAAATTATTTTGTTTTGTCTGTCTGCGTGTCGTGTTAGTATTGAAGTTTAGTTGTAAGAGTTTGGAACTATGTTTTAGCGACCTTTGTAAGAGTTATGCTTACATATTATTTCTAATTCGTTCTAACGTATACACACCTGCGCGATGGGCATCACGATGGCCCGGAAGGCGGCCAGATACTCCGCGTCGGCGAGGGGCGGGTCGGTGCCGCCGCCCCACGCCACGTTGACGTTGTAGCCCAGCCCCCCCCCCATGCCCCGTATACACACCTGCGCGATGGGCATCACGATGGCCCGGAAGGCGGCCAGATACTCCGCGTCGGCGAGGGGCGGGTCGGTGCCGCCGCCCCACGCCACGTTGACGTTGTAGCCCAGCCCCCCCCCCCATGCCCCGTATACACACCTGCGCGATGGGCATCACGATGGCCCGGAAGGCGGCCAGATACTCCGCGTCGGCGAGGGGCGGGTCGGTGCCGCCGCCCCACGCCACGTTGACGTTGTAGCCCAGCCCCCCCCCCCATGCCCCGTATACACACCTGCGCGATGGGCATCACGATGGCCCGGAAGGCGGCCAGATACTCCGCGTCGGCGAGGGGCGGGTCGGTGCCGCCGCCCCACGCCACGTTGACGTTGTAGCCCAGGCCGGGGCCCGCGCCGCACTCGCTGGTGGCGCCGGTGCCGGGGAAGAAGTTCCCGTCGTCGTGCCGGTGGATGCTGATGTACAGCACGTGTGGGTCCTCGTAGAATATCTGCTGCGTGCCGTTGCCGTGGTGCACGTCCTAAATGGAACGTCCGAACGTTTTAATTGATGAGATCTTACGCGTCTTTGATTTGTCAAATTCATTTCTACGATTGAGTGTAAAAAATAAATTAATACCTAGATTTTTTTACTACAGAAATTTTGAAAACCATTATATAAGATTACAGAATATTTAAAATTGTCGACTTAAATGTACAAATAATCAATTAATAAAAACCGTTTCAATATTACATTAAGGTATAGCACCGGATTAGATAATTAAATATTAGTTTACTAAAAATATTTTTATTGATTTAAACGACCACGTTGTTTTAGACAACGATCTCACGTTATTGGCTTGTTTATGGAGCCCGTTAAAAGTGGATATTCATCATTCTGTTGCGTATTTCAATAAAAATAACCAAATCAAAAACGTTTTTCTGGACAATATGGCGTCTTACCAGTGTGTGACGTTACACGACTGATATTAAAACGTCAAACGATACAAAGTAATGTCACTAACCGGAAGTTTACATGCGTGTGACGTCATTTTAGAATCCGCCAATCCCAAGCGTTTCGGGTCACGTGACAATAGATAAGAAAACTATTATCTTTTTCGTGGGTTTTTAGTAAAATTACGAATATTTATTTTGTAAAAATAGTAAAAACACCTGCCAATATTCATTCTAAACACAGATGCTAACAATTGGCACTTTATTTTTATTTATTAGTTTATTATTAGTCAAATACCCTATTAATTGCAAACATCAAGTCGATAATGAACTTTTAAGGCCTTCATTGGTGTCACGCGACAGTAAAATAAGCAGTGTTTAAAGATTGAATAAATACATGAAAACTGATGATGATATTGCGAAGTATGATAATCACCCAGTCGACGATGAGTATCCGTTGCAGTCCTAGTCTGGTGTGAAGCAATCTGGCGGCGATGGCGACAGAATTGAAGAAGCAGAAGCCCATCGCCTGGTTGGTCTCTGCATGGTGCCCCGGCGGTCGCACTACAGCGAACCTAACGGCGATAAGACACGTTAATGCTTATGCAATAAACGACATTATTGCATGCACATCAATATACAATTTGATAGCGAAGGTGATACAAATTTTCAGGTAATATATTTGGTCAGTTTGTTAGGAAATTGTTTAAACTCCTTTTTTTTGGGTCAGTCTTACTGTAAATGATGAGAAAGTTGTGGATATCCAAATAAATATTAACTGAAAGGTGTGTCGTACATGGATAACTTTAATCATGTCTCCATAAAATTCTATATTTTGTAGGTAACGAGAAGACAAAAGAGCTATTTATTCAGTTATCAATGAAAAATTGTGAAATGTGAACTGAGAGTCTGAGCTGGGGGTGAGGATGTCAACGTCATGATGCGTAAATGTTATGCCATCCTCAAGAACATTCATTCTAATATCCCCAAACTTATTATCCGCCGTAGAAAATATCCTAAGTGGTTCACTCGCGCTTTGACTAACGTAATATCTGAATGTGATAATATTAGGTGCCGTTTCCAAAAATATAACAACCAGCGAGACTCATTTGAACTTAAGCTTGCCAATAAGCGAGTGGACCAAATGATAAAAAAATATTATGCTGCATATCTAGATGGGGTGGAGGACTCGATTAGACATAATCCTAAAAAACTTTGGTCATACGTCAAGGATCTCCGCGGTGGTAAATCTAACATTCCTGGTGAAATGCATCTCAACACGGCTTCAGCTTCACACGGTCTATACCCAGAAACTAGACTCCGTACCCAGTGATTTAGTCAATGATAGTGATTATCTCCAGCTATCTCACGGTAATGTTGCTATATCCGAACACATGATCACTAAGATCTTATCCAACATTGACGAGAGTAAAGGAGCAGGTCCAGACGGCATTCCGCCACTATTTCTTAATAGAACCGCTAAATACATTGCGCTGCCACTTAAAATCATATTAGCTAAATCTTCTAAAAGTGTAATCTTAAAAAAGTGTTGTTCCGGATTTGTTTAAGGAGGCTAATATCATTCTAACTTCAAAAAAGGTGAAAATAATAACGTTAAAAACTACCGCCCAATATCTATTTTGAATGCAATATCAAAGTTATTTGAATAATTTTTTCAAATAACTTTGATATTGCATTCAAAATAGATATCGGGCGGTAGTTTTTAACGTTCCCATTTTAAAAACATCATTCATGCAAATCAGCAGCAACCAATCTTGTTTCGTATGTCAACGAACTAACGAAATCAATCGACTCAGGCGTAGAAATAGATTCTATTTATACAGATTTTAACAGTGCGTTTGACAAGGTTGATCACTACTGTTTCTGAAACTGAAGCGTTACGGAATTCATGGACCCCTACTGCTATGGCTTCGTTTTTACTTAGAGCATCGGTCGTTAAGGGTAGTTGTGAACGGCTACAGATCGAAACCATTCCTCACCTCGTCGGGAGTCCCCCAGGGTTCGATCTTAGGACCAATTCTGTTTCTCGTATTCATTAACGATATCCCTGATAAAATCCGTTATAGCAGTTGCTCTATTTTTGCCGACGATTTAAAGTTGTACCGACCGATCAAAAACGAGGAAGAAATTTGTGAAATTGTCGATGGTATGTCAAATAAATAAATAAATAAAATGTTGGCTACCTTTCTAACATAAAAACTCTTTGCTAAGATTTAAAAAGTATCGTTCGTTTTTAGACGGAACAACAAGCCGTGCGTTTTACTTTACATTACCGCACGCGTATACAACGTGATAGATTATGATATTGAAATTTGTGCAATAAGAGACGCTTTACGAGCAAATGTGTCATAAATGTTAATTAGTCGATATACGCACCCATTGCGCAGGTCGCCGCGTGCGGTCCTGAGCGCGAGGTCTAGCACGGCGCCGGCGGCGGCACGCGCAGCAGCGGGCGTGTGCTCGGCCCACGCCGTGTCCGCGTCGACACCCACTCCGCCACACGCCAGCCGCACCAGCGCCGCGCCCACACCGGGGGGGGCCGCACCCGTGCTCCCGGCCCCGCCCCCGCCCCCGCCCCCCGCGCCGGCCCCTCCCCCGCCGGTCCGCTCGCGGGCCCGCCCCGCTAACGCGGCTACGTGCGCCGCGCTGTGCACGCACTGCAGCTCCTCTAGCGTCGCCTGGACACGGGAACGCACGACACCAGTTACATAACCATCATCGTCAGCCTCTTTATGTCCCCTCTGCTGGGGCACAGGCCTTCCCTATGGATGGAATAGACAGATTGGGCCATGACCCACCACGGCCCGGTGCGGGTTGGTGGGTGCTGACGACAGCAGATGCAGCCGGGACCGACGGCTTAACGTGCCTTCCGAAGCACGGAGGAGCTCGAGATAGTAAATTTTCGGTCACCCATCCGATGACCGACCACTGCGAAAGTTGCTCAAATTCAACGATCGCAGCCGAACGCGCTTACCGCCCGCGCCATCGAACTCCTCTCCTGTGTGTACTGTCTAAGAACTAGAAAACACACTGAATGTATACCGAAATATAAACCAGTATTCTGGCCTGCGGTAATGACGCCATATTGCACTAGTATGGTAGGAGTATTGTCAATATGGCGTCGAAATCATGACGTCCTTACCGCTGGCCAGCGTACTGATGTCTTCTCGCTTAGTCTCCTTTTCCTTTATTTATTGAGGATAAATATACATACCTTCCTAGGCCTGGTGCGCTCGCATCGTCCGGCCAATCCGGTTTCGCAGAGTCGCGCCCACACGGACTGTAGCCGCCCAGAGTGTTCCGGGTGCGTAGGCGCGTGCGCACCGCACCCGCACCTGGACAAATACCACAATCGATATCTATTTGCTGATTACTACCGAACCATCTATGTCAAAAAGAATGCTCAAAAATCTTTTACCTATGACTGTAGTTCCTATCCTTTACTTGGTCATCTACCCATACCTATCCGTTTACTAATTTTTTTTTCATTTGCAATGGTGTCGACTCTGGCATGATTCTATAAACCTTATGTTTAGAGAATGAGAGAGAAACATTTTATTGAGCACATTACATCACAAAAGAAAATACAAAAAACAGACCAAAGAAAAAAAATATAAATAAATAAATATTATGAACACTCACACCGATTAGCCTAGCCCCAAAGTATATCAGAAATCAGAAATCAATATATCTTTATTCAAATTGGATGTATAGTAAGTACAACACTTTTGAATCGTCCAAACATTTTTTTCCCTACCACTCGTTATTGGATATATTTTTTAGCTGCGGAGAAAAACGAGCGAAAAAAACTCCACAACATTAAAAGCATAATGTAACAACATTTACAAATCATTATGTTGTTACAACGTCAATACAATCATGATTTATTTAATATAGAAAACCTGTTGGAATGATTGGAACAGTTCAAACCCAAGCATTTTTGTCTGTAATATAATCAGACACTTTGTAATAAGCTTTTTTAATAAGTGCTTTTTTTATACTATCTTTGAATTTATTTATGGTTAACTCTTGGATATTGCTTGGGACTTTATTGTATAAGCAAACACAAAGACCTTTAAATGAATTATTGATTTTGTGAAGCCTAGTAGCAGATAAAGTTAGTTTATTTATATGTGCTAGGGTAACGGATAGAATACATATACTCTACATATATAAGTATATTTATATAGAAATACAAATTAAACATCCATGACTGGAGTACAAATGCTCGTATTCATCACACAAACATCTGCCCCCAGAACCATTCGAGATTCGAACCCGGATAAAAAACAGATTAATACTGTAATTAAGCTGTTTTTTTTTCTCAATTCATCTCGCATTCTCATTTGTGGTCAACCAGGACCCTGCCTCTGCATAACACTGCCGCAACACGCCACAAAACGTGTCACAGCAGCGCTGATATTCTGGCAGGGCCTATTATGTATTTTTGACAACAGTATATCGTTGTCATTCTCTATATACTATGACAAGGAGAGAGCTTGATATTAAATGAAATTTAAGTTATGAGAGAATTTTGCCCGAATCGACACTATTATTCGATTGAATTTAAAATTTCTTAACATCCTACAAATATTATCGTCAAATGTTCAAATTGTTTTAAAAACCGTTTTATTAAACGACGGAATTTAAATAACATATTTCTATTTATTGAAGTTATACTTCTTTAGCCGCGTTATGAAAAAATTATGAGAGTGAAATTTTCATCACTGTAACACAAAATTTTAACATAATGAAGTTAGCCGCGGGCGCGTTATTTGTAATATTTTATTTTCCAAGTGACCGTGGGGCAGATTTGAACAAAGCAAACAGGGCAGATTTGAACGGGACATTGAAATGAAATGAAATGAAATGAACACATGAAACATTTATTATTAATTTATTGTAATTAATTATTTGCATGCAATTAAAAACTATTTTAAACGATGCCAAAGAAGGATAACTTCTCACGCGCCTACATAAGTACACGCACCCATTTTTTTTATTTTTTATTTAAGTTGTAGTAAAGTATGCCTTATGAAACTAAAAGCTGTCTTATAAATATGGAGATTCGACTTTTCATAGTGCATTATTTAATTACAAAGTAGCAAAGGGCTTTTTTTTTACTATTATAGATATGTCCGACAAATGACTCCACCCCACCTAATGTTAAGTGATGGTGAAGTCCAGACGTGAAGATAGCTGGTAAAGCAGTTTTATCTGCCACACCAGCCATCCTCACCTTGCCGGCCTGCATGTTGCTTCTTCACGTCTATATTATAACTAGCGGCCCGCCCTCGCTTCGCTTCGGTGTAGAGCTGAAGTGTAGACTACAGTTTTTGTTCTCAGGCTTGTATTATACGCAATGACATTCATCTATGATTCTTCTCATATCTGCATGCAAAGTCTCAGCTCGATCAGTTTAAAATTGACAAAGTTTCATAAAACTTTCACTCCCTATTTTATCCCCTTGGGGGTAGAATTGATCAAAATCCCATAAAATCTACCTGCATGCCAAATTTCAGCCCGATCCGTCCGGTGGTTTGGGCTGTGCGTTGATAGATCACTATGTCAGTCAGTCACCTTCGAGTTTTATATATATAGATATAACTCACCCGTGTTTGAGCATGATAGGATCGTACGCGAGGCCAGTGGCGGGCGCACGCGCAGCCACAAGCGGCGACGACAGCGCGCGGGCCAGCGGCGCCGCCTCTACGGCCGGGCCCGGGCCCAGTACGGCGACCGGCCCGCCCGGCCCCGGGCCCGGGCCCGGCTCGTCGGCGCGCTCGGCCCGCCGCGCCGTGAGGTCGATGACCTCGCCCTCCTCCTCGCGCAGCTGCGCCGCCGCCGCGTCGTGCGCGCGCGTCAATACCTACAAAATTAATGAACGAAGTTATCAGAAAACATTCAAAAAAATCACATACACACAATTTTGTTTCTAAAACATATTTCGCTACGCGCACCGTTTACGCGTGGCTGTCGTACACAAAAGAGTTTTTCTAGCAAACAAACTGAGTTTCGACGAGGAAGAAATAGTTTGAATCGTAGTAAAGAAAAACTTCAAATATTATAATGGTTTGATATCAAAAACTTTTTCCGTTGCTTCAAAATCCTAAACCTATTTACTAAACATCATGTCTCTACGACCAAAAGTGTAGGCGTGGTGGAGGAACTCGAGATAGAAGATTTTTGGTCATCCATCCAATGACCATATCATTTTAAATACCACAGCGAATGTTGGTTAACTTCAACGATCGCAGCCGAACGCGCTAACCACCCGCGCCATCGATGTCCTCGCGTATTGTGCCAGTATACGCACCGTTTTCCGTATCTGGTCCCGCAGGTAGTGGTGCGCGGTGGGCGGCTGCAGCGCGGGGTCCCCGAGGGGCAGGGGCGCGGAGTGCGTGCGGCCCAGCGGCCTCTTGCCCAGCCGCCCGCCCACGCCTGGACCCACGCCCACGCCCACACCTGGGCCCATGCCCCCGCCCACGCCCACGCCGCCCGAACTGAACGCTTCGGCCTCCGACACGGGCGGGAGGGACACTGACACCTGAACGATGGAACGATCAATTAGTACCTACATGCTACATTGTCAGAATCTCTTATCTATTAGACAAGTCCGTCCGTCCGTCTGTCTGTGGTGCAGTTTCAGCGGCCAAACCGTAAGAGATAGATAAAGAGAATGTTTAAGTTATAAGTTAAGAATAGTCTGATAAGACTACAGACCGGATTTGAGTAACGTAGCACTTCCGGTTTTCGAGAAATCACGAATTTCAAACGAAACCACACAAAATCTCCGAAGTTCTCAATTAATTAAATACATTTTTTTTTTTACATAAGGTTTTGGTGAACATTTGGTTCACTGGTTTGCTAGTACTTTTAAATTAGCAGTCCTTTGATTAAGTGAAGTCGATAAAAGTTTTAAATCAATATAATCTCTTTATAGAATCAAAAAGTCTTTGTAGTCGAACCGAATAAAGACAAGTTCGAGAATTTGACGTTTAAATATATGCGCACGTTATTTATACTTGATTTTGTATATTTTATATGTCTATAAGATTTTGACAACGAAAACGTTAATCATATTTTTTTTAATTTCAATCGATTAGATTATTCAAATCAATTATTAGTATTTCAAAATTCAATAGAGCAAAACAAGATTTAACACGAATCAATAAACCTTCCAAGATTTCATAGACCAATTAAAATATAAGAACTTGTGTCCGAACAGTTAGCATTTCATAATTTTTTGTTTCACTAAACTAACACCAGTTAAAATTCGCAATTATAATGCGACAAGGATCTTTACGAATATGTCGAAAATTGGAAGTAACGCCTCCATCTTTATAAACGTTACATTTTGTATTTAATTTACGTAAACCGCAGCACTCTCCCTGAACTGTCACTCATATTCATAAAGATCCTTGTAATACTGTACTAACAAATTTCTACATGCATTAGGTACGAGTCAAGTTTAACTATCGATGTCAACGATATTAAATACCCTAGGTACACCATGTGTGCTCAAAATGTGTCCCAATCAAGAAGTGCTTGAACTCCACTCGAGTATTTCTTGGTTCACAGTCTCGGGTGGACCGTTGAAAAGTCAAGTTGCCGAGGAACTCCGTGAAAAAAAAATACTTATATTATGTAAAATGACGTTTTTTGAACAGGTATCTAACCAATGTTTGTTAATTTTACGCATTTGAAGCAAATTTTGTTCTAAATATTTACTATAAACAGATTTAATAGAAAATATTTGTGATATTCAAATCCATGGTCGGTTACATAATAATAATAATTCTTTATTTCTCACCATAATCAGTTTCTTATTCCATTAAAAACACTGAGTAAATAGGTCACTTATCTAATTATGGCGGAATTCTAATTCTAAAATCTAATTATGAGGAAAATCTAATTATTCCTCGCGGTCTGTACCTACTACATTGCTACCAGCGCATTCAGAATTGCGCGTAGAGACAAAGAAATAAGGTCTATATTCTTCCGCACATACCAATAAATCGTAATACGAGCTTGCATTTCGAACTATCAGAACTCTTTGACGCATGCGTTTTAATTAAGACCTTATAAAGTAAGCATCAAAGGTGACTTTCAATGTTTAAATAATGGCTTATATTGTTTGTGACTTCGCGATCATCTTCCGGAGCTCCGTGGATGGTCCAATGTATCTTTTGGACAGGTTTCAGACATGATTTTGTTCGTGTTGGTGTATCTAGAGTATTTCATATCGTTGATCGATATTTATTAGAAGTATGATAACGATAGTTACCTGTGGCGGCGGGTGCGGATGCGGATGTGGATGCGTGTGCGGATGCGGATGCGGATGCGCGTGGGGGCGGCCCAGCGAGATGTTGGGCATGGAGGGCGACGAGAATAACAGGTCCGCAGCTCGCCCGCACTCCTCCTCCTCGCGGATGGGAGTCGCGGTCCCGCCCGCCCCGCCCACCCCGCCCACCCCGCCGCCCGGGGGCGAGCCGCGCGGCGATATCGCCGAACCGTCGCAATCTGAACACAGATACCAGAACCTTTAAGCTAACTTCAGATTAACGTGGAGAGTCACCAGGTGTCCGAGCAAACCCGTACAATAGGGGTGATGACGGGGTACAGTAAAAGAAATTCTATTTAGTCCGTCAGTTAGATGATCAAAAAATAATGGACACGTATTTTTTCTTTGGGCAATCGACCAAAAAATGACAAAGTTATAAGCGCGTCAAAGTTTGGGAGTAGGGGCTCGTGACGTCACTTTTGAGTGAATTTTCACTTATAAGTGTACTGAAACGTGACGTCATGCGACTTTTCAAATCAATATATCTCAGCAATGTTTATATTGTGTGAAAAAAGTAAAAATACGTGTCCAATACTTTTTGATAATCTACCTGATAAACGAAGAAAAAGAAATTAGTCATCATCCCTATTCTATATATTTAAGTATTTTTCTAACGTCGGCGCTGCGCGCGACTCGTTATGCCTTTTATTAAGTGAATTAACCAGTAGCAATAAATTACTCATACAAACAACATCGTTTTATCTTTAAACATAACAACACTTTCGGGACAGTTTTTTGGAACCTATCATAACAGCATCTAGCAACTAAAGGTGTACCAGACACCAGGATCCCACGAAACCCGGTCCGGGAGAGAAAGAACTGTTGGGTTTCTAGTGACCCCCCCCACCCCCCCCCCTAATTCCGAGCAGCCGCTGAGTCAGTCTGGCTGAGCGGGTGGGCGGGATTTGGAGGGAAGAGGAGTCCCACATAACCCCGTCTCTCACCTAGGGCCGAGAATGCATCACGGATTTTCCCAATAAAAAAAAAGGCTAAGTTCAGTACCCCTAGCACGAACCAATATCGAATTCGTATCGTTTGCGAGTCCGAAATGTCATTGTCAAATGTGTACTGATTTTTAGTTCTCGTTACGTATTTTGGTTTGGTTGGTATGAAATTGGCATTTCGGTTTGCAAACTATTCGAATTCGATAATGGTTCATGCTGGGGGTACTGATGGTTGCGCAACAATGCGCGTAAAGAATTTCTAAATCATTCCATAGGACCGATCAGATGATCGCGATCGTCCCTGCTCCAGCGCAGGTATCTAGATGCGCTTACGCACGTATTGAGTGAATTCCGATTATCAAGTATCGGCACTCGGAGAAGTCATCGCATGGAACATGTAAACTTTAATACCGTTTCAAACAGGAGTAGGTTTTTCTTTGACACTTGTGTTCTGTTTGCTGTATGTTGTTTTGACAGCAAGTTGTCCTTATCATACTCTATAGGGAATAAAAAGGAGAAAAAGAGAGATGTTGTCGATTTTATAAATAGTAAATACGAGTAGACGTGTTAAGTGTCGGCTTTATAATATAACTGCGCTCCCTTACTCCGCTTGTCATAAATACTGTTTACAGTAATATAGTACTGTAGCAGAGATTGCAACTTTTATAAATAGCAATCTTATTAATATCCTTTGTTACAATATGAACCTTTTTATAACTTGTATAATTAAAAAAAGAAATGGAAAATGCCGACGCAAGACATTCTATCTCTGTAACAAGTCTGTAAGTCTGCAGGTGCGAGAGGGATAGAACGCTTTACGTCGTCATTTACGATTCGTTTCTTTAATAACACAGTAATGATCCTAACGCAAAAAAATATCACAATATCTGTTGATATAAGTAGAATTTATTTTGAAAATGTAGCGTATAATACGTTACATGTCCATTGTTTCTAAGTGTCGATCGATGGCTATGATAAAAACTGGACAGTTATACATTTATTCAGCTGTTATTCTACCACAACACACAATCATTCGTTAAATCGTTAGATTTTAATTCTACGTTTAGGTTAATACTATGCTATGACAAGAAAACAACAGCGGTTACGCAAATGCCATTTAAGAGGATGCAAAATATCAAAAATAATAATTCAGCAGTTTATTTTTTTGCATGTTCAAAATAATCACATCTCAGGTCCAAGCAAGAATTTTGACAGCTCTGTAACCGTATTGTCATTGCATTTTTTTGTGGAAGGAACCAGTTTGTTCTTATGTCCGGTAGAGGCGCTGCTAATTTCCATAGACACTTTGACATTCCATAGAGCTTTCAAAATTCGTGCTTGGGCCTCGGGTTCTTTGCCTTCAGTGTATGTGTTATGTAAATTATTTTTAGGTTTGTCACTAATATGCAAAAGTGAAATTTCTTCATATCTGCCCTATATTAAAGTTCTCATTTCTGTATAAAAAATATGGAAGATTCCTCTTTTATAAAGGGCAAGAATGTGCGCGACGGAGTTTGACCATTGTAAAATCTGTTAGAAAAACTGGAGGTAATTGATTATAAGAAATCATCAATGATTTCGAACGGCACTGTTATTCTGTTACCTTTGATTTTGCCGTTCATCATAGTTGCATTAGCAATCGTTACATTATAGGTCCAATATTAATTGAATCTGAATTACAACAGAGGTTAAGCTATAGGGATAAATCTTTGTTACAGTTCGGGTAAGGAAAAGTAAACATGACTGAGATTGCTTAATAAAAAAAACTTAAAAACGCGTATATAACGACTTTTGTATGTAAAATTGATACTGCTCGGATTCGTCGTCTACGGTTTTACACAATCATCCATAAAGTACGTCACACAAATTTCGTGATTTTTTTGCTCCTCCTCAGTCCTTGTCACAGTTGGTCACATTTGTGAGCCCCCCTCCCCCCCCCTCCCTATTTCACTATTTTGCATCAAGAAATTATTAAAATAAAACAGCAGTTTGAAATAAGTAAACAAATTAAAAGCCATAATGATAGAGTTCTAAATATGTTAAAGCTTTTTAATGAAGTTCAAAAGTATTATTAGATTTTGAAATGTGGCGTCACGAAACTTAGTGTCGCCGCACACGGGCCACACGCCACAGCCACAAACGCCGCCACGAGAAGCTAGAAGCGACTACTAAAGTGGCTGAAGCGCGCGACAGCGGCCGACTAAGGCAAGGGAGAGAGGGGTGGGGAATCGCGCGAGTGACGTGTGGCGGCGTTTTGTATCGGCGCATTAAGTGGCCGGTGCGGGCCACAAGAAGCGAGCAACGACCATTTGTAGCGTGTGGCGGCCACCGGCGTACCGTGTGTGTCGAGTCCATATAAAATGTATGAAAACTACAAGAAATATGCCGGTGGCGGCGTTTTGTGGTTGTGGTCGGTGGCCCGTGTGCGGCGACACTTAGGATTAGGAGTGTGACCCCTTATCACACTCCGTCGACCCCCTTAACGTGTGACGTACATTATGAATACTGCAATGTGTAGACGCAGGTGTGTGTTATGTTCAGACGCGGAGGAATCCCTAAACGGGGATCCCGCGGCTTCGCGCTAAGCAGCTTAGAGGGTATTCGCAGGACTTTTTTAGCGGATATTATGCCGTAAAGCGCCCGTAAGAGTTGCGGGGTCCTCGGTGGACAGCCACTGGGGCGCCCGTAAGACTTGCGGAAGCCAGGTGTGAGGTCCGTTCGGCGGTGTGCCTCTTAAAGGCGCCGTCGTCTGTAAATAGCATTTTTTACCTGCGTAATAAAAAAAAACCGGCCAAGTGCGAGTCGGACTCGCGTACCGTGGGTTCCGTACAAAAATATTCAAAAATATTTTTTATTTTATGATGTAACTAAAAATTTACGGTTTTCGCAATTTTTCCTTTATCTGTACTATAAGACGTTACTTCGTACCAAATTTCAAGATTCTAAGTTCACGGGAAGTACCCTGTAGGTTTTGATTCCCGTGCGAGTTTCGAAAATTTGCGGCATAAATGGCTGTATCTTTTGATTGCTTTGGCTTAGAAGTTTGATTTTTTCATAGCTCCAAGGGACAGTAGACCTGAGTATAAGGTATGAATTTCAGTTTGATACCTCCACGCGTTCCTGAGAAAAACGGTCTTGACAGACGGACAACAAAGTGATCCTATAAGGGTTCCGTTTTTTCCTTTTGAGGTACGGAACCCTAAAAAAGGTGTGTGTTATGTTCGTGTGCAGCATACTCACTGCGTTGCTTGACGCGCTGCTTGAGGGGGCGGCGCGCGAGGGGCGAGGCGCGTCGCTCGATGACGCGCGCCTTCAGCCGCACCTTCAGCATGTTGGGCTCCGACGCTGTCCGTGCACACTCACAAGCTCACAAACGTGCCTACCTTCACACGCACCCGGGAATACTCCACACCCCGACCGATCGTGATCGCGGACCACTTGGTTGGCTTATTTCAAAGGATAACCCGACCAAATTAAACGGTAGATATCTGCCTTATATTAAAGTTCTCATTTCTGTATAAAAAATATAGAAGATTCCTCTTTTATAAAGGGCAAGAATGTGCGCGACGGAGTTTGACCATTGTAAAATCTGTTAGAAAAACTGGAGGATAGGTGATTGATTATAAGAAATCATCAATGATCTAGAACGGCACTGTTATTTTGTTGCCATTAATTTTGCCGTTCATTATGATTGCATTTGCAACGCGCGCGCGTCATATTAGAGACGTCGCTCGCGAACTGTACCCTTAGTACGAGTTTGATCGCACGAAAACTATCATAGTTTTCGAATTGTAAATTATATTTCTATGCCCATTTTGGTGAAAAGTAATCAAATATACTTGAAATTTATGAAGACGCAAATGATTTAATGGTGGATTTTAACACTGTTTATTTGTATTGAAACGAAAACAATAAAATCAGTACCCTTAGTACGAGTGCAAGCCCACGAAAACTATCATAGTTTTCGTAATTGTAAAACTCGTACTAAGGGTACTGTACTATCTGCTAACACTGTAAAGTTTTGAAGAGTGGGAAACGCTACAGCGTCTGTACTGTAGCAGCTAAATCAGCCCAAAGTGCTCAAAATATTTTGACAATATTTATCAATAATGGTAATCTATAAATGTATATAAATTACGCGTCACGTTGTTTGTCCGGGATGGACTCCTAAACTACATAACCGATTTTAATCAAATTTGCACACCGTGTGCACTTTGATCCAACTTGAAAGATAGGATAGCTTACATCTCAATTTATAGTTGCAATATTACATTATTACAAATTATTACTTTTGGGCGGTACGAAGTTCGCCGCGTCAACTAGTTATATAATAAAAAGTATATTTATTAGACTTTTTTTAATGGTAAATATATTTGACTTCTGTAGTAGTCGCCGAAAACTAAACCCCAAAGAAATTAAGAAAATAAAAATAATTGTCCACAATATTTATAAGAAACTTCTTAGTTTCAGAAAACTTTGTAACGGGTACCGCTGAAATGTCAACACTAGATATCCATATACAGTGTTGTTCTGTAAATTCGTCATATTTTCGTTTCAGTCGAGGTGTAAGTCCAGGGTGAGGGCGGAGTGTTACTTCAGCAAGGTTGATACATTCATCAGGCAGCCAGCCTTGCTGCCCAGGCTCGTCGGCGCAACCGTACCATACACTCAAACCCGTAACATTGAATCAAATAAAGTCCACAACAGTAATTTTCAATGCATTTTCTGAGGTTTTGAGCCAAAATATTTCTATTTATATAAATTTTATGTTAAATTCTTTTTTGTCAACAAAATACATTTCAAAGTATTTAGTCATTCAGCCCCTCTAGCATGACCACCGAAACGGGATATGATAAAGCGATATATCGACATTAACTGTCAGACTACAGTGGAGTTTGACAGTTAAGATTCGATAAAAAGCTTTATCATATCCCATTTCGGTGGTCATGCTAGAGGGGCTGGTCATTTTGCGAACTGAAATTACCGTTTCAATAATTAGATATCAATCAACTATTCATATTTAAAGTAATTCATATGTAGGTATGGTTGCACAGGCGAGCTGGCGTCACGCATTAATATCACACGAATGCAGTTAATTAAAAACAACAATATAAAACAACATTCCTGATATAGCACAATTCATGTAAGTTACTATCAATACAAGCAAAGATAAGTTGTTTACTTATTATGTTTATTTTTAATCATACTATTCTGAGATAGATTAAGTAACAACTTATCTTTACACACTCACAGGCCTAGATTAAATCACACTAATATTATAAAGGCGAAAGTTTGTGAGTGTGTGAGTATGTGAGTGTGTATGTTTATTACTTCTTCACGTCTAAACGGCTGGAGCGATTTTAATAAAATTTGGTATGGAGTTAGCTGACACCCTAGATTAACAAATAGGCTACTTTTATCCCAAATAAATGTTAGGTTCCAGAGGGATTTTCAAGAAACTAAGTTAACGCAGACAAAGTCGCGGGCGACTTCTAGTTATTAATAAAAATGAAGATTCTACTGACGTTGAGTGAATTTGTTCTATTTCTGAATAAAAAATAAAATTAGTTTGTTTGCTGTTATAGGTATATTGCCCATTGGATTGTTTAATATATCAAATTATATTATTTAACAATAAATCATTTGAAATACCTCCAATTTTAGACGTTACTCGTGGCATTTCCCCGAGTTGTTATCTCTTCAGGTTCAGCTCATAAATAAGCTTTAGCAACTGGCAACATTTGAATTTATATTGACCTTCCCCCACCACTATACATAGTCTGTTACAGATAAAGATGACGTCAGTGGCTAAATCTCTTTTCTTTTTCAAGTTGGCTATGCCGGTCGCATTTCTGACTCATCTTTCCTTTATCATAGACGGTATATAAAAGCTGGATGGATAAGGTTGCCGGTCATTTGGGGAGTGATACGCGAATCAACAGTAAGTCATAAAAGGATTTTTTAACTATAATTTTTATTTTTTTTAAAGCATGTAACTGCTTGATGTTTAAATCTAAAGAAAATATAACTAGAAAAAATTCCACGCGGACCAGACAGCAGACGGGACTCGAACCCGCACCCTTCGCAATCCAGGCGAAAGTTGGTCAGTGCTTTCGCCCGGATTGCGAAGGGTTTTTTTAGTTGTTCAACTTTTTGGTGAGTTAAATAAAATTATCCGATGGACAATACGTAGCAAATGTGAGGGTGTCGCGGTTTGGAAAAGGTTGCAATATTGTAGTGTTTAACGGACATTATATTGTATTCGTTGCGTTAAAGTTTAGTTTAGGGTTGGTATTGTTACGTGTCGGGATGGGGTTCGAATTTATATGAAAGTTCACGCTTGGCAGTATTTTTACAATGTTTAGTGAGTGGACTGTACAAGTCTTTAAAACAATCGCACTTGAACACTTTACTTGCACTTTGATCGCCTTCGTATTCGTCCCGAAATCGCACTCAACTGTTATCGCTTTGAAACTAAACTGTCCGCTATCCCGATCACGCTTGTATTAGCCAATCGACGCATTCTAGAAAAGTGTCGTTAATTTAAGAGTAAGCTAGCACCCGTCGATGTAATCGCGGTGTAGAGTATGTATGTGTGTGTGAGTATGTTGTGTGTGTGTGTGTGTGTGTGTGTGTGTGTGCGTGTAGTGTGTGTGTGAGTGTGAGTATGTGTGTGTGTATGAGTATGTGTATGTGTGTGTGTGTGTGTGTGTGTGTGTGTGTGTGTGTGTGTGTGTGTGTAGTGTGTGTGTGAGTGTGAGTATGTGTGTGTGTATGAGTATGTGTGTGTATGAGTATGTGTATGTGTGAGTATGTGTGTGTGAGTGTGAGTATGTGTGTGTGTATGAGTATGTGTGTGTATGAGTATGTGTATGTGTGAGTATGTGTGTGTGTGAGTGTGAGTATGTGTGTGTGTATGAGTATGTGTGTGTATGAGTATGTGTATGTGTGAGTATGTGTGTGTGTGTGTGTGAGAGTATGTGTGTGTGTGTGTGTGTGTGTGTGTGTGTGAGTATGTGTGTGTGTGTGTGTGCGGCACTCACCCGTCTTCCGCAGCGGGTAGTCTGCGGGCGAGGGCGGGGGCACGGGCGCGGCATTGAGCGCGGCGAGGGGGAGGGGCGCGGCGAGGCGGTAGGGATGCGTGTGCGTCGCCGCCGCACTCGCCGACGTGATCGATTCACCGCTGCTGGACTTCACGATACCCCTGCGATCCAAACGCGACCGATTGTAATACCATACATCATCAGCCTATTAATGTCCCCACTGCTGGGGTACAGGCCTTCCCTATGGATGGAATAGGGAGATTGGGCCGTGACCCACCACGCGGGCCCAGTGTGGATTGGTGGGTGTTAACGACTGCAGATGCAACCGGGACCAACGGCTTAACGTGCCTTCCGAAGCACGAGATAGTAAATTTTTGGTCACCCATCCAATGACCGACCACTGCGAAAGTTGCTTAACTTCAACGATCGCAGCCGAACGCGCTAACCACTTGCGCCATCGAGCTCCTCCTCCATACCATACATTCACCACAAAAATTCTCCGCAAACCCGTCAAATCTTTCTCTAACTGTCCCTTTAACAACAAAATAAGCATTACTATTTAAAAGAATCAAAGATGCATTGTTGTATGCAATCAATTAATTTTTTGGTGTTTATGGCTCCATCTCATTACGTGACGATTCTGCCGATGTCTGGGTTATGCATATCTCTTATCTATTAGACAAGTCCGTCCGTCCGTCCGTCCGTCCGTGGTGCTGTTTCAGCGGCCAAACCGTAAGAGATAGATAAAGAGAATGTTTAAGTTATAAGTTGAGAATAGTCTGATAAGACTACAAACCGGATGTGAGTAACGTAGCACTTCCGGTTTTCGAGAAATCACGTGATTTCTATTTCAAACGAAACCACACAAAATCTCCGAAGTTCTCAATTAATTTTTTTTTTTTTTTGGTGAACATTTGGTTCACTGGTTTGCTAGTAACGATATAATGCCGTGATGAATACATCTCTCACGCTAAGATCGAAGTCCTTAAAACTTACTTGTATGGTAATGTCTAAACTGAACAGTAAACCATTGTTACAAATGTAAGTATGTACCAATATATAGTCAGTGTCGTATGTACGAAACACGACAAACGACACTGACTATATATAAGTTAGGTGTGTAACCAGGTAATTTTTAGCCGAGCCTTGGCCTTTTGCATTCTGTAGCATACATATGGGTATTCATATGTATGCTCTTGACTCCCATTATCACTAAATGAAGTATGCGTAAAATTATCAACTATGTATAAAAGTAACAATGATTGCTTACCAATTTCTGTAGGGCGATCCAGGTACTGTCCCGTTAGCATTGGCAGCTGCTTTCTTTTTTAGGAACTCCTGTAAGAAAGGAATACGTTATTAATATCATTAGCCTATAAACAACATTTATCTTCTGCTTAACGTAGTTCGAACTAAACATTAGTTTGAAATACTATGTAATAAATAATTTGTCATCACCTTGCTCAGATTCAAAACAACGTCTGCTAACAAATACAACGAATAGATATGTTTTTCTCATTAAAAAATTGCAATTCCTGCTAATTTCATAGCAGTGATAAAGTTTGATTCGCACTATAAGTACAGTACATCATTATGACTTTATAATAATAGTGCTCCATTAATTCTTCGTACTGAAGGCACTCTAATAGTCTCGGCTGCGTCTGCAGTCGTTAGCACCAATGGTGCATAGCCCATTCTATCTATAGGGAAGGCCTTTAAGAAAGGAAATCAATAGGCTGATAAAGATGATGTACTTATAGTGCGAATCAAACTTTATCACAGTTGTGAAATGAGCACGAAGCGCAACTGTTCGCAGGGTTCAGATCAGTGACATCTCGCCGGTACTTTCATCGCCAAACATCAAGTTGACTGCGCCGCATTTTTGGTAAGTTCACAAGGGGCCATCCATAAATTACGTCACACATTAAGGGGGAGAGAGGGGGGTCGACGAAGTGTGACATCGTGTGACAAGGGGTTGGAAGGGTTCTTAATTTCGTGACGTCACATTTCAAAATCTATTATAATCTAAGTGTTGACAACACTTCGATTATAATAGATTTTGAACGAATGAACACGAACTTTAAACTACATATTACTTTACGAAAACATTTACAACCCAAACGAGAACAAAGTGGCTGGTATGCCAGTTATCTTAGCACTCAAGATTATTAAGTTAGAATCTTTAATTTAAATATTATTATATTTTAAGAGAACGAGAAAAAATAAAATGTGCGGGCGCACTCCTTTCTCTTGCTTACATCCCACTCAATTCCCGTTCGCCTCGCCCGAACACACTTTTCGTAACGCGAAACGCATTCGCCAGTTTACCCCCCAAGTTAAGCGTGCGTAAAGAAGTAAAAACTTTAAAAATAATTTAAATGGAAATTTAACTGTTTTCGGAACCACTGTTTTCATTTAATAATTTCTAAGTGTTTTGGAAAATATGTGACGTCACACTAGGGAGGGGGGGAGTCTCACAAATGTGACCAGCTGTGACAAGGACGGGGGGAGGGGCAAAAAAATCATAAAATTCGTGTGACGCAATTTATGGATGACCCCCAATGGCGATTAAGTTTGAATCGCACCGGATAACGTATGGCTCGGGCTCACCTGCAGCTTCTGCTTGACCTGCGTGGAGGCGTTGGCGCTGGGCTCGAGCTTGTCCTTCTTCCGCAGCAGGTCGAGCCGCTCGCGCTCGTGCCGCTCGCGCGCCTCCCGCGCCTCGCGAGCCTCCCGCAGCGCCGCCTCCTCCAGCGCCTTCTGCTGCTCCCACATCTGCTGCCGACACAAGCAGCATACATTTCCTTACTTCGTTCCACTCACAGCATTGCCTGCCCTCCCCGTCTATCATCTCTTATCTATTAGACAAGTCCGTCCGTCCGTCCGTCCGTCTGTCTGTGGTGCTGTTTCAGCGGCCAAACCGTAAGAGATAGATAAAGAGAATGTTTAAGTTATAAGTTAAGAATAGTCTGATAAGACTACAGACCGGATTTGAGTAACGTGGCACTTCCGGTTTTCGAGAAATCACGAATTTCAAACGAAACCACACAAAATCTCCGAAGTTCTCAATTAATTAAATACATTTTTTTTTAATTGGTGAACATTTGGTTCACTGGTTTGCTAGTAATCATTACTGAGCGGCAAACATATTGGCGTAAAACCACAGACAAACGTTTTCGAATGTAAATTTGCTACTGCACAGGTGTTACGGACTATTGTTTATGTTCAAGATGTTTGGATATTACAATTGGTGGAAATAAGAGTACTTGATTAGAATAATTATCATAGCACTATGGCGATTAAGTAAAAGAGTGATTGCACAAAGTGAACCGGTAGATTTCGGGAGTAGAAGAAAATAAAAACATGCATCTGCCGCCCCATGTTGGGCGCCAATAACGCAGTCTGTAAAAATATGTTCTATTTTACTATAACCCTAGTTTACGCAGTAAGCTTAGGGTTATAGTAAAATAGAACAAACGCAAAAAACATTTTTTTTGTTTAGAGAGAAGGGCAGTTGTGTTGTTCGCGCAGTAAGTTTGTCCAGGAAAAAAATGGTTTCAAGTTCATCAAAATGAGAGTGGATGTTGCAGTTTTTCTACTGCATCGCCAGTCTATGTTTTTTATTAGCTTACGCTTTCAATTTAGTTATTTGCTACCCTCACCTTTAAATGATTTCAAGTTCCGTGACATGTTTATAGATAACTTAAAAATAAATAAATATTTTATTTATTTATTTATTTTATTCTTCTTTACCAAAATACAGTAAATGACGAACTTGATGCTTAAGGCATTCTCTACCAGTCAACCAGTAAGGGTGTGTGCGAGCTACTAAAGTTAAAAAATAAAAATTATCCTACTTAACTTTACTATACTACACTATAATAAACGATAAATACATATTGTGTATAATTTAAATATCATAAATACACATATAAATAAATAGATATATATAATAAACCTACACATATAATTATATACACACAATAAACTAGTTATAACATATAATATACATATAATACTATTCAACTTCTGTTGTAATTGTATTTAACATGATAAGAAATAATGATACAAAATTTATCATAAAAATAACGAGAATCTTGTAACTAAATAACAACAGCATTTAAAAATTCTAGAATAGTATATTGTAATATCCAACTAAGATAAATAACGTACACATATAAGTAATATATGTACAGTCACATATAGCTAGCAGAAGGAGTGATTCATCCGGTACTTTCATAACGTGTGTAATATTGGGAAAATTGATGATTATATTATCTTTTTAATGCGATCTTATTGCGCATTAATACTAGACGCAAAAGGGAATTCCCATTTTGATCGTAGCAACAACTCTGGAAAGAGTCTCTCAATTAAATACACTTTTAAAACTAAGCTATTGTAGGTGACGTTGCAGTAAAGGCAGGGGTCGGAGTTAACCATGGACGGACGTACTTTATAAAATATTTAATTTATATAGTACGCCCAGGAAGTGCACACAGTTCGAGCAATATTACCATAACAAACAAACCATGGTGGCCCATAACTAACATTGGGTAGTTTGTGAAAATTCATAAAACTGTAACTCAGGATAGGTTAATTTCTTTTATTACTAGTGGCCCTGAACTGAGAACTGTAGTGTAAACTATAGTTTTTTTCATAGGATTGTATTATACACAATGACTCTCTTGATAATAATTATAAACCTTCCATTCCAAGTAAAAAAATCGTTGCGTAGTTTAGGACTCGTTGTACCGAATGCAACATCGCTCTGCCGTTCCGATTTAAAAAAATATTTTTGTATTGGACATTGCATTTATCGAGAAAGGCTATACTAGGCTATATATTACCAGGCTACACTTTATCATATCATATCACTTTGCTCTATTGTCAATGACTTCCGCAGCGTCCGCGATAAATTTTTTTTAAATTTTTTACATACTTTGGGTTACATTATCGAAGTTTTCATACGGAACCCTAACTTTTTTGAAAATAAATTATAGCCTATATTAATCAGTGATAACGTAGCATTCAAATGGTGAGAGATTTTTTAAAATCGGTCCATTACTTTTTGAGCCAATTCGTTACAAACATATTGACGTACAAGCCTTTCCTCTTTATAACATTTTTTTTATTCACCATCAGAAAATACAAACCGTTGTTAAACAGTGTTAGAATATTTACAGTAAGTTTACATTAAGGTATGCGTAACAACATCAAAGACTGACAGCTACCCTCCGCTTTAGTAACAAAACTGTATTGCGGCAGAGTAGGATCATCGTCGAGTAAACAAAATAGGGTAGATTCATGTCATTTTACAACTTACGACAGGTCGTGATAAAACTGCGAAATTCTAATACTGGACAGTATACGTAAAGTAAAAAGATAAATATTATAAAGATACTAATACACATCAATACCAAAATTAATAATTTATATAATATTAGGTCATAGAACTACATGTAAATTTATATTATGTATAAAATATTAAATAAATATATATTACATATGCATACTCAAATTTTGCCTTCTAATCCTTCAACAAATCCTCAGTACTACTATAATCAAGTGACGCCAAGTATCCGGTAATTATTTTATTACATTTAAAATATGTATTATTTCGAAGTGTGGGAAAAATTCGACTTAACTTGTTGTATAACCGAGGACCTAAATAATAAAAGAATCTACGTGCGAACTTAGTTCTACACGACAGCACCTTATAAGGATCTGGAATGCGTCTTTCTGTGGAATTAGATGTTAGAGGAGTTACAAAGCGATGACACTTTAAAATAATTGATTTAATATAAAGCTGTCTGACTGTTAGAACTTCGAATTCAATGTAAAGCGTTCTGGTTGGAAAGCGCGGTTCTCTAAAATTTGCAACTTTTAATATAGTCCTTTGCCCTCGCTCAATTTTTATTAGATGAGATTTATGAGCACCACCCCAAGCAGTTATGCCATAGTTTATTATTGATTGACACAATGTATAATAGACAGTTTTTATGGTGTTCTTATCTTTTACTTTTCTTATTTTTTTGAACATACATATAAGCTTACGTATTTTACAGCTCAGTCCATCTATTTGTTGTTTCCAATTCAGATTTCTATCTACTAAAATGCCAAGATATTTCATATTTATAGCTTCCGTTAAAGCTGGACAGACACAGTTCAAAGAATCATAGCAATTATGTGCTTGAACACTAAAATTTTTAGGTTGATCACTATCCTTAATACTGAATTTCATGTATTTAGTCTTATCTAGATTGAGAGTAAGAATATTCCTCTTAAGCCATTTCAAAACAAGTGCAAACCCCTCTTCAGCCAACATCCTTACCTCATCCCAGGTCTGCCCATTAAATAAAATAACAGTATCATCCGCAAATGATACTATTTTTGCATTTTGTAATTTCATGATAGTCAGACTGTTAAGATAGACCAAGAAGAGCGTTGGACCGAGGACGGAGCCTTGTGGGACACCATAATTTAATCTTATGCTATCACTTACCACATTATCAATTTTTACTGCTTGTGTTCTTTCTTTTAGATAAGACTGAAAAAGTTTAAGTGGTGTGCCACGTATACCAGCGTTTTCTAATTTAAGTAATAGTATAGGTATAGATACTGTATCAAACGCGCGCGCTAGATCCAGAAAGATCGCAAGACATTTGTTTTTAGCGTCTAAATTTTGGGCAATTTGTTGGATAACATCTTCAATTGCATTTGTGGTTGACATGTTTTGTCTAAAACCGTACTGAGTAGGCGAAAAAAAATTATTATTTTCTAGGAAGGTAACAAGTCGGGAATTAATAGATTTTTCCAATATTTTAGATAATGTTGGTAATAGTGAAATCGTGAATTATAATATTAGTATAGACAATAAAAAATAGACGTCTAAATCTTAAACATACCAATGAAGCATTAATTAACTTTTCTTGTATAAAATATTATTTTCTTCAGAGATATATATATCATTAGGGCAACTATAACTTGTAATTAGCGTAAGTCCAGTTGTCCCCGCTAACGACGCAGCAGTCGACCCAGCATGAATGATGTAATTATAAATTGCTCGGTCACCATTCATGACTATTTATAACTGGCCGGTGACACGTCGACGGACGCCCATCACGCGCCAACTCCAGCTTTTTTACTTTCGCGAATGTTTGGCCCAATGTTGGACAAGGTTTACAAACCATCGACCATATCGGCTACATATTTACTACATATAAATGTTCGAAGCCAAACACTCGATGCAACGCAGGCGCGCTTCGCCAACCGAGTCTGCTCGCCAATTATTCGCAATTAGCCTCAGCGTGGTTACTTCCAAAATAAAACCATTAATGATTATTTTTACCCGAGCTTGGCTTTGTCTCGATCGGTACTGTTACTATCACGTGCGTGTCAACTGAAATATGGCGCTGTGATTACTTTTAGATAAATGTTTATGTCACCTCTGCTAGCCAAATATTCGCTAATAATATTATGTGTTTATTTTGGCGCGTTTTTATATTCAGCACCAAGGTTCCATGGACGACTTCGTCTGCGTCTATTTTTGTAACATAGAAGCAACTACCTTTTTCCGGTGTGTAAAATTTATCTCGTTAGCAGGATGTGTATTTTTAAATTTTACTTTAAACCATAAGAAGTTGGGTAGCAAATTCTACGTTCCTTTTCCAGTACTATATAAGTAGACTAATAGATATTAAAAGATTTATAACCTGGTATCTCACCTTCAGGTGGTGTCGCAGCTGTTGCTCGTGTTCCTGCGCTAGTTTTTGGCTTTGCTGCTGGAAGTGCTGCAACAGGATCTCTTGCTGCAGCTGCTGCTGCTTCTTTAACTGCAACAGATAGCAGCAGGTCGTCAGCTCGTGCACTATCGATAACAACACTCACGAACACGCTCATCAGGCCGAAACCAAGCGAACCGAAGATTATAATATCACCTTTTTTTCAATTAACTAATCTATTTAGCACACTGATCTTCGGGTTGACCGCGAATGAAGCAGAATTCTTTGTACAGCGGCACCTAGGCTGTTAGTTCATCCCTTGATACTGTGCAGCATTGTACTAAGAGCACTTCTTCATTAGATTCGTTTGCGCAGTAGGGCTACTTGTGACATGACTCACGCATGATTAGGTTACTTAGGCCGAAGATCCTTAGATGACACGACACGTTACCCAAATGAGATGTGATTAACAGCAGTACATCCCGTTGCTCCACACTAGTTAGTGTATATTTAACATACGTGATTAATGAGTAAGTAAAGCGATATTGTGACAACTGATAACTTCTACAAACACGGTGAAGAAAGCGACAGGTGTTACGCGCTGGCTAAGGATTCCCAACAGCCGGCATCATTACAAATGATAGCTATTGTGACATTCTATAATAAAATGGATCTCGCAGAGCCAAATATGTATTAACAATATATTTAGTTAAACGATTATCCCATTTACCACACAAAATTAAAAAATGTGATTTTATATTTAACAAACATCGTATCTTGTGCAACCACGAACCGTATATACAAGTTTTGATCGACGTTAGGTCGGTCCATTCAATTCTATTTCGTTATCAGAAGCTAGATGAGCGTCATACCATTTGGGAATGTGTGACGTGTCGCGATTGGGTGGTTGCACAGGGCACACAACACAAGTATATATAATTTGGACTCACTTGCAGCAGGAAATTATTCTCTAATGTTTGTTTCGCTCTCTCCGCGATATGGTTCTTTCTCGGGCTCTGATTCTGACAACGAGAGAGGAAATACATGTAGGAAAATGCACACGCCGATCACCAACAAACACGCAAACGCAACGTTAGTCGGGATCCCGTCAACCACCAGATCAAAACTATGAAACGCGTACATATTTAATACTAAAAATGGAATATTTTAAACGCATCTCATCTTTTTGATCCGATTTATAATTAGATTTCTTCGGTGTTTACATACTTGTGTTCAGGAAATAAGATAATAAATAAAATTTTCTACAGAGAAATGAATGAATAAGTTCGCTTGTCAGCGGAAGCTGTGGGCCAGGAGCCAGGACGATGTAGAGTGTATAAGGGAGGCGGCTGCATGCGTATGAACGTTTGCGCATATTTTTGGCGTCGCACATATTATTTTAGTTGGATGAAAAAATGGCGGACGTCGGAATGCGTACATGCTACGAATAGCCATCGGACGGATGTTTTGCGCGCATCGTGGGCGGGGTAAAAATAATGTCGCGCGCGGGGCCCGAGGGAGTACCGGCCGGTCCTTGCGCCCCGCGATTGTTCCCGATCACTTTATCGGCTGTCGCAGTATGACGACGCTTCTGCGCGTCAGATATCAGATCGCGCAACAGGTGTAGCGGGGGCAGCCCGACCCATGCAGCCGGATATTCGATATTATCACCGGTAAACACCACGAGTGTTATGGATTCGCAACAACAGGCGAGCGGCGGTCATTTGCGAGAGGCCGCGCATAAACATTCTGGCTAAAATTAATCCCGAGTTAAAGCAGGCGGAACGCATGTACGTATAGTAAGTAGACATGCAGACGAACGGACACGGACGGCCGCGGGGCGGGGGCTGTAGTGTTTTGATATCCGTTTATTTATAAGTGCGCAGGAAATTTTTATAAATACACTGGCGGCCGAGTTTAGAACGAGATGGATGGAGTCGAGTCGTTTGTACAATATACCGAGAAAAGGTCACGGGAATTCCTTGGTGTTGTATTCACTTGGCCTGATTCAATTATTATCTTAGTATTATCGCTTTTATGTGAACCCATAAAGGTCCCTTAACTATATCAGAGAATTGAATAGGTTCCTCCTTACTTCCAGAGATCATAATCATATTCAACAAGTTTTAGTTTAACTAAACGACTGCATCCCGTATATATATTTATTTTTATATTCTTGCATGATCGAATTATTTTGATCAGAGAATCCGCCATTTTAAATTTTTCAGTTCATTGGAATTATTATAAAACTACCTTTAGTTTTTTTCAAGGTCAAAATGAAGATAGCTATCGGTTCGTCAGCTGAGCATGCAGCTTTTTATTAGATTCTTGTGTGGCCATATCAGGCGTTTCCAGGCATCATTCGGCAGGGAAAGCTCGGCACAAACGTCCAAAAGCAGCAATAATAGTCAGCGTAATCAACCTCCCTTAGTACTAATGGAGAGTGTAGTCAGTGTTGCCAGGTCTCCAGATTTTACAGGAGATCTCCTGTTTTTCTGAAATTTCTCCTGTTCTACTGTTTTTCTACATGAATCTCCTGTTTTTTAGAATACGATTTTCTTTTTTAAATTGCATGTTGAGTTGCATTTTCCGTCATTAATAATGTAGATAAATTTAATAATTATAAAATAAATGTAATTGCCTAAAGAGAAAATTGCTTTGAGGGGCGGCAGAAGCCACAGAAACACATTCGTTAGTGGTCTTTATCTTGATTTGATTTGGGGGGTGCAAACCGGAAAAAGTACACCTCTGCATCTACTGTTTTTCTTGTAGCTGTTTCCATACATCTACTGTTTAAAACTCGGACCTGGCAAAACCGAGTGTAGTAGAGATGGTGGTACGGTAGGGTGAGTAGACACGGACGCAAGTTACCTGCATGATCTGTTGATGGAAGCTGGTATCTGCGAGCGGGAGGCGCGGCGCGTGCGGCGGCGACGGCGTGTGCTGCGGGGAGCCGTCCGCGCCGCCGCTCTCATGCGCCATCTCTGCAATACCACACGGAAACTTATTAGGCTTGTTGAAAATATATCGATGTATCGATATATCGATATTTTTTGTTCGATATATCGATATTTTTTGCCGATATATTTTGATTCGATATATCGATACATCGATACAAAATAACCAATATCGAAATTCGTATCAAAAACGATATTTTTTTAATTATTAGCGGCATATCACGATTTAACTAAATTCGTATCTGGAAAAATCGTAACTGGATCTCAGATTAATGATATTCAACATATCTATGATCTGTGCTGTATTTAGTATTGCCTATGTCATCATTCTAAAATAGGGTCTATTTTTAGGGCGATAATTTTCGTTCCATTATTATTCCGCGTGTCATATTTCGTGAGCTATTTTAGAGTACGATATTTTTGGGAAAATTGGTCCGATATATCGATATATCGATGTTTTTTTGGCGATATATCGAAGCCGATATTGATATTTTTTAAAAGATCGATGTATCGATATATCGATATTTTTTTCAACTTTCGACATCCCTAAAACTTATCAATACACTGAGGTTGCTTTCCAATTACAGAGCATAATGCGACTCAGTGCCGCACAATGCCGCCGAATTATGCTGATGCTTAATTGGAACTTGAATTAGTTTTCAAATGCACCAGCAGAGTGCGCTAAGTTCAGTGTTGAAAAAAAAAGTCAATGTTTGTACCTTCATCCGTATTTATATTTAATTTTTAACACAGTTTGAATTAACTTTGATTATTTAAAAAAAAACTATGATGAAACGAAAGTTTCAATAATTTTTCAACAATAAATAAACAACAAACTCTTCATGTATATAATAATAATAATAATAATTCATTTATTCCAATCATAAAGATCATAGCATGCCAATGACAAAATAATAATAAATATTAATAATTATGATACATAAAAATAAATTAAATTACATCTCCACATACAATTACATTTAAAACAAAAATTAAATTAAATTCAATCGGTTTCACACCTGAGTATTAACAGTTTCAGAATTTCAAAAATAAAATGTCATAATTTAAAACGGTAAAATAAAAATTAAATGTCAAGATTTAAAATAGTAAAATAAAACTTAAACGTCAAAATTTAAAATGGTAAAATTTAATTTAAATGTCAAAATTAAAATGTTATGATTAAAATGTCAGAGTTTAATTTCAAAGTTATATTAATTTGGTAGAGATTAATGCTTATATTATATATAAATAACAAAATTTTATATAGTCACTACATGAATCATAGCCGCATGGTTCATATAGGTGAGGTACGGAGCGTGCCAGCTATCTACGTATTTGGATTCCGCTACATCTAATATATAAAATTCTCGTGTCGCGGTGTTTGTGGTTAAACTCCTCCAAAACGGCTTTCCCGATTCTCATGAAATTTTATGTGCATATTGGGTAGGTCTGAGAATCGGACAACATCTATTTTTCATCCCCCTAAATGTTAAGGGTAATCCACCCCTAATTTTTTTTTTCAATTTTAGATTTTTTTTTATGATACATCATACAAAAATACATACAACCATAAATTTTCACCCTTCTACCACCAACCCCTATTTTTTTATGACGGTACGAAGTTCGCTGGGACAGCTAGTTATGCTATAACTTCACATAGCTATTCGTATTTGCTATTCGTAAATTTGACAACGGCACATCACTCATGCTATATACAGAATGAAAAGGAAACTTGACAAATTCAAAGCACAGCCATAGTGACAGGAGATTACATCATACAGAAATATTGTACGGTTAAAATATCATCAAATTATTTCTGTTAATTAATAAAACCTCAAACATATACAAGCTATTAAAAACTTATAATCCGGTCTTTAAGCTTCTCGTCGATAACCGGAACTGGCAAATGAAATATTGTAAAACTTGATAACATCAGCCAGAATCATGTGTCGTCTTTAGATATACCAAACACCATGGCGCCGTCAGTTAATAAATTGTCATGGGGTTACCTGATTTATAGCTTTTCATTACAATATATTAGCATACTACCACAATATATAAGCTACAGCAGTATGGAAACTAGGCCCTTTTGTTGAATTATATACCTCGCGCCTATTGAGCGTTAGGCCGTATACAGAAAGAAAGCCGAAAGCCGATCGGCGCTTATCGGCGCCGATCCTTCCTACATAAAGGAAGCCGATTAAAGCAGATCAAGCAAAATGTTGGACTCATCGGACGATGATTTGGTTTTGTTAGAAAATGTTTATTTAAAAATGCCAAAAACAGCTATACATCCTATAAATAGAGAAAGGAAACGTTTCGGAGAATACCATCATTTATTTGTAAAAAAAAATTAAAATTGATGAACAAAGATTTTATACATATACAAGAATGATTCAAGAAACATTTTATTACATTTTGGATTTAGTGGAAAACCGTTTGATGAAAAATTGGGGCAATTGGCATAAACAAGCAATCCTTCCAGAAGAAAGACTTTTTGTCACCATTCGGTAAGTACGAAACAAATAATTTTAGCGCTTAGTTAATAAAAGATAAAGTTATTAGATTTATAAAAAGATTATAACTTAGATTGATTTAATCTAAGGATAATAATTCAAATACAAATTATTTATTATTCGGACCAGCGCGTGTCGGCGCCGGTCCATAGAAAAAGGATCAGCGCTAATAGGTGCCGATAAGCGCCGATCGGCTTTCTTTCTGTATACGGCCTTAGGGTGATTTTTAATGAGACGATTTCTATTAGAGATGGGGCGACTATAGTATTTGCCGATTTACCGACCAAGGGCGGATCCAGAGGGGGGGTCATGGGGTTCATGACCTCCCTGGGCTAGGTCCATCTGTACACATTTCACAATCTGTACCCACTGTGACTTGACCACGACTATATGACCCCCCCTGGCGCCGAAGCTGGATCCGCCTTTGTTACCGACTGATCGGTTTTCGAATTGCCGACTAGTCAGCCAACTATTCTGCAATGCAGATCATTCTTATACCTATCTTAGGAAGATGTTCGGAATATTTCGTCACTACTCAGCTTGCTCACGCACGACACGAGTCTCCCAAATCGAGTCGAAATATTCATGTTCCAACAGCAAAATTTGCCTCTAAAGAAAAAAAAATACCTATGGACTTCTTTAAGACTCGCTAGCACTTACGATTTTACTCAATTAATACGTACTTACTTCCCTCTACTATTTTCGTATGTGCGATATTCATTGTATTATCTGAATTACTGACAGACTCTTATTATGTTAGCTTATTTTATTTTAATATTTTAAAACTGTAGGTAACTTTAAATATACTATCTACTCTAGGTACTGTTTAAATATTCAAAACAAGCATATGTTTTGAGTTTTATTTCATTGTTATGTGCCGTTTTATAATAGGCATGTTTTGCCGAATAGTCGCCGATTATAAAAGACTAGCAAACTAGTGAACCAAATGTACACCAAAAAAAAAAATAATTGTGATTGATGAAAACACGTGATTTCTCGAAAACCGGAAGTGCTACGTTACTCAAAACCGGTTTGTAGTCTTATCAGACTATTCTTAACTTATAACTTAAACATTCTCTATATCTATCTCTTACGGTTTGGCCGTTGAAACAGCACCACGGACGGACGGACGGACTTGTCTAATAGATAAGAGATGCCGAATAGTCGTCTTTTCCGACTAGCCGGGCCATCTCTAATTTCTATCCGGTTTCTACCCGGGCCGGCACCGGCTAGGGTTATTCACAGGCACGGTTTGTACATTTGTTTGAGATGAGTCTCCTTCCAATCCTTAGTGCCTATGCCCGGGTAGAAATCGTCTCGGTAACAAGCGCCCTTAGGGGCCTTGTTGATACGTGCGTCTGTGGGCGTGTATCGTTTGAAACGTTTTGACGCAGCTTCCTTACTGTTAGACTTAAATACTGTGATACTTACTACGCCGTTATAACATGCTCGTGCAGTTTAAAAAAAAGAATACACCAAATTAAAATAATTTATGCGGTTCTATACAATATTTATGGATATTATCGAGTTATAAATATAAGAATAGGCCGTAAGAGAAAGGTTTTCGGCCACTTTAAAATATTAACGGGTATTAACATAAAGATTTATATTTTATTTATAGCTTCTATTTAATGTGCGATCAAAGGCCAAGTTTCAACACCTGCAGTAAAAGAGAAATGTTTTACCACTCCTTTATTGACATATTATTTATTAAGTTAGATTGAATTAAGTAAATGTTAGTGCCACTAATATGTTTTTAATTGTATGTTGTTTAAAACAAAAAAAAAACTATAAATATTTTTAAGATGAGCGTCGGTCGTCACGACACCTAAGTGAAGAAGTATAATTATTTACTTATATCAGAGTTCCCCAAACTTTTTTGTGTCGTAGACTCCTTGCCATGTTTTTCCGTGTTGGGTAGACCCCCTACTTAACTGATATTGTTTTTTTTTCTCTGACGTAGACCCCTTGCAGGTTGTCATAGACCCCTAGGGGTCTATATAGACCACTTTGGGAATCACTGACTTATATCTTCACATGTACCTAGAAATCGTTAAGTTCCCGCAGTGTTAAGATATTGTAATTATAAAGCGGCGTTCGCTTTTTTTTGAGTGTGTATGCTGTTGGTCGCAAATGACCTTTACAGCGTCACCGGGTTTGTGGACGGCGAGATCCTAAGGGGACCTCAAGCCGAGAATTGGCGAGTGCCTCTAGAGGTATTCCAGGCGGATGGCATCTCCCCACGGGGGGAGTCTCCTCTCCATCTGGAGCCTCTAGACCTGGAGCCTGAGGTGTTCGCTTTAAATCGCGTGCGATGCATAATATTCAGGGAATGCAAGGGGGGCGCGGCAGAGTGTAGCGCCCAGAACGGGCAGACCCGTGACATCACCACCAACTGTAATTGTGCACTGTACCAATTTTCCAGATTTTAACAAATCGGCAAATCGTAAAAGGTGGTCCGAGACACGACGGAAATTTTGAGAAATGGTCCCTCGTCATGAACAGGTTAAGAACCAGTGACCTAAAAGTTAACATGTCTTAAAAATACCACCAAAGTAAAAGTTTCAAATCGATAGTATCTACAGTGAAAGTAAGAACGTTTTCAAAAAATTAAGTTAAAACTAGTTTTATTTAAATCTTCTTAACTTATAGCTATCAACCATCTCGATCGTTTCAGCTTTCAAACAAACAAAAACGCATCCAAAT